CATAGCCAAGTTTACTCCTTCGGAAACTTTAATACCTGTTTTTGTAATATATAATTAGTTTATGGAAACGATTATCTAATAAATAATAAAAAAATAAAGTTTACTTTCTTGAGCGTTTACTATGTAAATGAAGAAGGATAGAAATATTAGATTCTTCAACATTATTCCTTTCTTTGAGAGCTATACTATTGGAAATGATTATGAATGGAAATTTAGAAGGGGGCGTAAATCATTATCTTAACTATATTTAAAAACTATTGTTTCTTATTCAATAAATTATAAAAAAATAAAGTTTATCTTGAAATTGATATCTGTGTAATGTTAAGAAGAGTTTGTGTTATCTACCTCTTAACTACTCTCTTCATCTTTTTTTTCTATATTTGAAGAATTGATATAGGAAATCCTTTTTTTTATAGTGATTTCTCTTATCAAACACTGTAATACAGTACAGAGGTGTTTTGTAGGTCAATAAAAATGAATTGCTCTATTGTTTCTCACATTCTAAATGAGAATTATTTTCCCCTTGTGTCTAATATGATACTAAATACTGCAGTAGAAACGAAAATAGATATTCGTCGAGATTAGAGGGCAGAGAATTTTTTAATATTGTATACTTTTTAAGCATGATAAACTTGAGAGAGTGCGATTTCGAAGATAAAACTTAGGAAACATTATCGATAGCGTGTCTAGCCATGCGAGAAGAAACGTCTGAAGGAGACAGAGACAGAGCGAGGCGCGACAAAAAAGAAAAGATGTCTCATGATTTATCTTTGTTCATTTTATCTATTCCTGTCTCTTAAATTTATAGACGAAAGAATTTTTCAAGTTCACTCATATTTCTTTTACATACATATGTATAAATTCATATATATGTAGAAATTGTTTTTTGTATCTTGTTGGGAAACGTAAGTCACTATTAAAACAAGTGTTGTTGTAACACTGGTACTCGTACACCAGCTAACATTTGCAGGAGCTGTGAAAAAAGGATCAAATCACTTGTTCATAATATCAGTTTCATTTCCCCTTTCCACTTTAGGTATAAGATATCTGTCTACATACTAATAATATTCATGAATTTATAAACAAAAGGGGCTAAGGAGGTAAGAAAATTTTCATTGATTTGCTCTTCCCCCTCTACCATTGCCCTTACCCTCACCTTCTCTCTTTCCGACTCTTTCTACTACTTGTTTCTTGTTTTTGTTATAATAAAAAAAAAAAGCAATTTTACAATATGGAAGTTTCAAAAAGTAAATCTAGATTATTTATTGCAACGTACTGTCACGTAAAATGGTCGCTTTCATGTTCTTCAAATTAAAATTGCATCCTGTATTAAGAGGTGTCTTTCTAATTAACTTCTATAAAAGAGAATTCAACGTAATTAGCTTAAACGAAGAAAAACGAAAGGAATTGATTAAACGCAAAATGTTTGAAAAACGTATATATTTCTGCACGAGTATTTCTATATTCAAATAATATGATTAAACAAGTTATTATGCAAATCCTTAAGATTTATCTAAATAAACAAATAAACAGCTTTTTTATTGACAATCTATCTAAAAAAATGAATGTTTCATTATCGAAATTTTCTAGTTCTTCTTATCTTGAAATTGTTTTATTACTTTCCTATTTTCCTTGTTTTCTATCTCGCTAGTCTCTTTCTTTCTATTCAAATGAGGTTATACTAGAGGGCGTATTAGTCACACAAAAGAATTGCCGCTAAGAGCATAGAACATAAGATACATGTAAATATAACAAGAACAAGCTATGATTTGATGGTTTTGGCTTTTAATAATTAATATTCTATAAGGAATATGGACCACATTATTTATTCTTAATTGCTATTTCATTCTGTTATTTTATCTCCCCAGGATGATTCAAATCCCCACAGAATTTTTGGCACTCAATATTTCAATATTAATAACTTTCTGTTTTAGGTCAGTGATGTTTGAACTGTTAAAATTGGACTCTACTCACCCAAATTACTGTCTAATTTACTCTCTATCTTTGTCACTCTCATTCTCTTTGTATTTCTCTCTCTCCATCTGTCAAAAACAACTGCTAACACATTTATAAACACGGATATACACAAATTTACCCCTTCACCAATCCAAAAGTGTTATGTTTACCTCCTTTGATAATTGGATTTTAATAATTCCTGTTTTATAAGTTATCGGAAGCATTCAAATACCCAATTAATATTTATAAGAAATTTAATATGAAGAGAACAAAACGTTAAAGCTGAAAATCTATTGCCTCTAATAAATCTGTTTTTACTAAATTACTCAACTAAACAATTCCTATAACTAGATATATAAAAATAGTAAATTTCGGTTTTTTTTATAAAAAAAAAAAAAAAATAATGAAAGGAAAAAAGAAATTTCACAGAACAGAGGACAATTTCAAGGCAAAAAATATATATGTGTATTTCTTTGATAATAGACAGCTCTTTTATTTTTACACTCTATGAAATCAGTGCGTCTAGCGTTCTTTTTTATTATAGAAAAATCTTCAAAAGAAACGCGACAAGTAAAGAGTATTTTTTTTTCTCTATCTAGTATTATCATACTTGTATTTATGAATATCCGTTATTTAAAAGAGGGAATGGGGATAAACTAGGCAAATAAAGGATTATTCTTGTCTTTCATTTTACTTTACAGAAGGTACTATTATAGTGGAAAGTGATATTTCCCTGGAGAAATAATAACTATCAAATTTATTCTTTTACTCTCTCTCCCCCCCCTCTCTCTCTCTTTTTTTTTACGATAAAACAAGCCACGAATTATCAATTCTAAGGAGTAATAAATTCGATGCTGAAGACAAGCAATTTATCTTCATTTTGAAAGTTTCACTTGATAAATATTTTCCTTTAATTTAGGCAGTCCCTAAATTTGTTTACTACTCAAGGACAGAGGTAAATTTTGCCATTTTCCCCACTTAATAGCTCCGTGGCTAGTCGTTATTGTCAATAATTCATTTGCTCTTAATGCTCCAAAAAAATGCCGCTTCTATCAATGCTAATTGCTGGAGATGTGCCAAGCTCGGTGGTTGATTTCCGGTCACGTCATTTGGAAGATTGCGATCTTTAGTATCTCTTGAGAATTATTGGAATTGTATGAAAGTTACGTCATTAATCTCCATTTCGTATTTATTAATAAAAGAGTTAATAATAATTCCCTTGTCAAACTTGTAATCTTCTCACTTCCTTTCTTAGCAAATAAGCTTTTCTATTGTTACATTATAGGGAGGATTATCGAGAACTCTGTATAAAAGACGGAATATTACTTTATTATCTTTCAACTATATTGCTGCTGTTATTGTTCTTGTTCTTCTTCTACATAGTAGCAACATCTCTCTGTCTACTGTGTGTTTCAGCCTATTCAATGGATAGTATAACAATTACACTCTAAAGAGTTAAATTTAATTTTTTAATTTATTCATAAAGAATATTAGACAGCTAAAAAATCTATTCAAAATTTACAATGAAAAATAATAAAGTATACAAAATCAATGAGTTTCTGTGAAAATAAAAGCAGTATTTTAGTAAAAAAAAAAATTATCATCAGAATGAAGAAACGAGTATCTTTTGAAATGTTCCCTTTTTGAGCTACTATTAATAGATTATTTTTTGAATGATTGAGTCGCTAACGGTTATTAACTTTGATAAAATTTTTAATGAAATATCTAATAATCAGCAATGTTTCTCTATGAATAATTTATTATAAAAAGCTGTAGATGTATGCGTTCTCTTTCAGGAAGAAGTTTATTAATAAAATTGTTTAAAGTCATTTTGTATAGTTAATTATAAAAGTATTTTGTTATATAAAAGAATTCTTATTCTTGCCGGAATGCTTTAATTAAATGTTTCTTCTCTTTTTGTTGCTTTATAACATTTATCAAACGAATTCTACAACCAAATCATTATTTCCCAGACTTATTTTACATCGAATAAGTTTCAATCAATGTCAATTAGATCGATCGCCATAGGTAGTAGATGAAAAACACAACATAGATAAGTTTCCTGTGTTTCGTGGGTAGATGAAATATACGCTGCAATCATCTTCTAACAATCGATATAGTGTGAACAGTAGTCTTATAAGAACGATAGTCTTATAAACAAAAATAAAAGATGACGGTATCCTATTAAGCGTTTTAAGAACATTCTATTATCAGAGCTTCAATAAAATCTGTCAGTTGATCTTCAATCAAGTTTCTCATCCTACTTTAAACTTGTCTTTACATATCTTTTGAAGCAATCGCCAGAAAGTTTTTTTACAAGATATTTATAAAACCTTAAACAGATCGACTTGATGCTAATAAAGGAATTGGACAACTATTGGAGAATAATTCGTCAATGAATCGATAAATTCAAACGACAACATATAGTATATACTGCTTTATATACTTGCTCTTATAATTTAGCCGGAGAGGAAAAGGATATCGAATATATGTATTTTCAGAAACGTAAAACTATCCAATTTTAATTCAAACGCAAATTTTTGTCCTTTGGTTATAAAGGTTTCCAGCTAAGAGCTTTCCAGGAATAAATGCATAAATAAGTTTGCTTTTAAAAAAAAGATATCCTATTGGATTTAATAGATACTATTCTATAAGTTAATGTCATGTAATGACACCAATTTTTAGTCAACAGTTATTTTAAGTAACATCTCAATATTTCTACTTTAAAATATAATACTTTCAAAACATAACACGAAGGTTATACAATACCAAAGGTAAACTTTTATCTCTTTTTAAAGTTTTTCTAATTGACTTACTACTCAAACTGTACGATAGGCATAACAAGAGTGAAAAGGATAAAATTAAATTGTTTTAGTGAAAGATTCTTTCTTTTTCTTATCTTTAAGAAATGGAAATTTATAAAAGATATTTTAATAAAAGACTGACGGAATAGGATAAAAAAAACCTGGTGCAAAAATGTATATTTTAATATTTCCGAACAAAATATAAGACAATAAGATTTGTAAAGGTTATAATTCAATATTTTATCGCCTAGGTGTGAATTTAATTTTGAATGGATGTGGCGTTGGTATAGCAGAGTTATTCTGACGCTCGATTGATGGTTCCGAACCGTCAAATTCCATTTTAAAGCTAAACAGTAGAGTCGACAAGATTAGAAACGCTTCAATTCTGACCATTTGCTCTCCAATACATCTTCTCGATCCTGTTTTTATCAATGAGTTCGTTATATTTAGATAAAGGAATATATTGTGATTAAATAATTTCTAATTACCTAACCCAAAGGATAAAAATTCATCGGATCTAATTAGCAGTCCGTTGTCGCTTAGAAATCGATGAGGCTTATAAGAATATGGATCTGAATAAACTTGTTCGTCAAGATGAACGCTCTCAACGACTGCCTTTACTGCAGTATCTTTTGGTATAAAATAACCTTTTAATTCGGTATTCTTAATAGAACGGTGATATACGGATGCCATTAGCAAATCATCTAGACGTAAGGCTTCAAGAAATGCAGCTTCAATTAAAGCTAATTTAGCTCGGTCGGTTAAATTTGGACATCGATTTCCGGTAGCCCTGTCTATTAGTTCGTGAATTTCATATTGAAGTTTCTGATTTAATGCGAGACGTAAAATTGTCCATAAAATACCAATCGATATTGTGTGTATCGAGTCGATTATTAAAATTATAAAAATATCAATAACCTGTCCATCCGTTGCATTATCGAATAAGATCATTAAGGCGTGAAGAAAGTCTCCAGGTTTGGTTTGATTATGATACTTTTGACGCTTAATCAAACGATTTTGAAAGAATTGTCTTAGTTTTCTACCTAACTCTATAGGCCTAATGAAACTCTTCCTGAAAACAACATTTGGAAATGGTACAAAATTAATAAAAGGATTGAATACAAAATTACTAAAAGCACTAAAAGCCTGAGAGATAGTATCTTGTAATAGATTCAGTTCGAAATCATCCAAATTTCGACGCTCATTTAAATATAATGACAAAGCTATTTGGGTTAAGGCTTGCCTAATTAATTTATCTGGATTAAGGACATTGTTATTCTCAGTTAGTTTTCGACAAACTCCTTCCATTGTCCAATTTACAGTTTTTTCTAAATTGTGAGCGATATAGCAATTAAATAAAGGTAAAATGAGGAGTTTAATTTTTTTCCATCTGTCGGTATTGGAAGAGTTCACAAGACTCTCTACAAATGAAATAAATCATACAATAAGTCTTTGTCTCTTTTCTTATAATAAATGCATTAATTACTATTAGTTAAATCAAATAAATTAGTATTTCCAGCACTGAAATCGCTCCTTCTATCAACGTATACTTCTTTTATTAGATCTTTTGAAAATATATAGATAACCAATCTAGATAAAAAATATTCAACAAATAAGAATAAGTTCACTTTCTTAATAAAACTTACTCGGATCCTATATACATCGAAAATACATCACCGTATTTTTGCCTTAATTTCTGAAGATTTCCATAAAGATACAGAGCCCAAGTACCTCCAATAAAAGGTAAACTTATAGGACCAGGTGGTAAATTTCTTGGCTTTTTTAATTGCTTTATAGTCCATACACCTGTTAATGCTCCAATTATTGAAAGGAATGGATGCCTTTCAACGAATTGTATAGAATCAGATAATGAAAGAGAAACCATTAAATTGTTCAATTTGGAGATCATCTATGAAATAAATAATGGGAAAAATGTCTTTTGTTTTCAGTTAGAATCTAATTTATTACATTTAGACATTTATCAATAAAATATTTAAATTATAGAAATCACATAACTAACTAGATATTAAGTAAAGAATTAAATAAAATGAAAAAATAGTAACGTTTTCTAACGGAGTTCAATTAATTCTCTTATTGAAATCTAAGACGTATACGTATTAATATCACGCTACTAGGGTCGGTTAGTAGAATAATTTATCGAAAGAACAGCCCTTTTAATGGTAATTTCGTTTTTCACTTTTGCTTACTTAATGCAAATTTATTTTAATCTGACTTTCCAATTGTTTTATATTTTTCTTTTGGTAATGTCGATAAAATTTACATATGCAAGTACTAATTTGAATATGGGGACGGTTTTTCCTACCATAAATCCATAATATTGAGGCGATCATCTCCTTAATGTATACTATTCTTATTAATTATGTCGCTGTTATCCTTACCGAACTTTAAAAATGTTTTTATTTAAAGATTACCTTTAAGCGGTTTATGTAAATTTTCTTAAATCGTCTATTTTTCTTATCAATCTCTCTTTAATATCGATGTGCATTCGTTTATAGTGAGGTCATCTCTCTATTCAAATACGAAGATACCTGCAGGGGGGAGACATATTATATGATTTCAGAGAGCATCAATACCAAAATCTACAGACTTTAGTGCATTTTTATCTGGTAGCCAGTCTAAGTAGCATAATAATTTTTGTACCCTAAAACTAGCTACAATATAAGATTATACATTCAATTTACTTCTACAAATCTACTTAAATGTTGACATAATTTCCTGTTCCTTACGTTTCGCATTGTTTTTTTATAAAAAAAAGGACATAACATATTAAATAAGGAAATTTTAACGAACGCTTTGACAATATTGAGAAAATTAATTATGATTTTTGTTAGAAAGGAAGTCTGAAAGGCGAATGAGACGAAGTTGCTCGTTTAAAGGGCGAAAAAAAACATACTCCTAGATAAGTTGTCCTGCTAAAGAAAAAAACACGGTTTTTACGATTAATAGTTGGTTTAAATTGACATTGAGATATCTAGAATGAAAAATATGATGAATTTATTATAAAAAGATACCATGTAGGGAAAATTTAAGTGACATGATTTAGGTAGCCTATTACTTGATCTAATTAGTTTAGATTAGTCTGCATGATACCAGAGAGTTTTATGTCAATCATTACATTCTCTTTTATCATCTCCTAGTCTATAAAAATTGGCACACATGTATATTACGCAAAAGTAGTAATCTTCCCTGTTCTATGACATGCTGAAGAAAGAAGAGGAAAGCAAAGAAAAAGGTTTCTGTTAAATTGCTTCTCCTCATCAGATGATTGTTAAGCTTTCATTTGATTAGAAGCAAAAGTTGATAGATATTTTCTATCTTATTAATTTTGTTATCTCTTACATTTCGCTTTTTATTTTACAATTTCTCCGTTTATTTTGTTTCTCTATCTTCTTTGTGTGTATCCTATTCCATCAATTTCAAATAACATTTAATAAATAAATTCTAATGTTTTCTGACAGCAGAATTTCATAAATTAATATGTTGAAATTCTGTTCCAAACGATTAGTTTTATTCATAATAAAGCAACTTTTTAGAATTTCAAATGAATATTTTATAAACTTTCAACGGAATTAAGCATTTCTCTTTTTAGTTAACGAATTATTTTTCAGAAAAATTACATCAGCAAACGTTGGCTAATTTTCTATTCAATATTTAATAGAGAATAGTAAACGCTATTTGGAAAATTGCCTAGACAAAATTAAGCTTCACTGATTAAGCTGGAAGGACTTCAACTATTCTAGTCAACAAAACAATCAATTTGTAAATTGAAGGGCTGACAAAGTTTGATAAAAAATAATTGCAACTAGAGAGACAGTAGGAAAGTATTAGCCGATGCAAAGTTTTATGTGTACAGTTGGAAACATGTCCTAGAAGTGGGACGGTTACCTAATCTTAAAGTTAACACCGGAGTTGGCTCCTTAACCTGAGGGTAGAAACGGAGTAAATTTCATTTATTTAGAGAATGGAGAATATATTAAGACTTGTTAAATCAAGCTAGAGAAAATTTAATGCTACCACAGTTATCGATAATCAGTTTTCTACGCTTATAACAAGACTAGTAAAAATAAGAATTTCCAATTTCTTAAATTTATAGGAAAAAGAATTAGTAATTTAAATGTCTTGTTAATTTTATTAAATTTAATACAAAAGTGGAAAAAGATAAAGAAAGGAAGAAATTCACAATTACAGTAAATGAATAAATATTCAATGGAGAATAATTCAATTATAAACAGAGCGAAAGGTAATTGCCTTTTTTTTCTATACAAAGTATAGTTACAATATACGATTGGAATAGTCGGGTTTTATTCAGTACAGAATTTAAAGAAAAACTAAATATGCCATCATGGTTAGTCTCACTACAAAAATGCAGATGTACAAATAGTATTGTTTATGTTAATACCCATTTTCATCCACAAATCATAAATATCATGATTACTATACAAAAAGTAACAAACAAAAATACAGTATATTCAAAGGGAAAACATAATGTAGAATATAGTTTTCAAGTGTTTGTTTTCATATTCTATCTCCTCGGACTGAAAACTAGACTAACATCTAAGAGAGAATTATCAAAATATTCTGTCGTTTTCAATTGCTTTTCATTAAAATAATCTTTCATTGATAAACTTATTCGAAATTGATGTAGTAATCTTGCAATAGTTAGAAATACTACTGTTCTTGAAAATTGTTCACCGGTACACGATCTAGGACCTGAAAAATATATTTAAAAGTAATTATTTAATGAAAATACTATTGATAAATAAATAAATATTAACCTATTCCGAATGATAAATATTCATCTCTCTTAAAAGACAATTTACCATCTTTAATAAATCTTTTTGGATCAAATTTCTCGCTATTCGGATAAATTCCATCGTCAAAATGAATGCTGGAAGAAACTGGTACTAAAATAGCATTTTTAGGTATATTGTAACCTTCTAGTGTTGTATCTTTAATAGGTCGATGACTAGAACTTTCGCTTAAAATGTCGTCTGTTCTAAGAGTTTCCAAATATAGTGCGTCAATCAAAACTAAGTCTTGACGATGGGTAAGGTTTGGAGGTTGATTATCTGTAGATTTATCTAATAAATCATGAATTTCTCCTTGAAGCTTTGGATAATAAGCCAAATATAGTAAACAGGTTTGCAAGGCAATAGTTTGAGAATGAATAGCGTCAATTGAGAGTATAATCATTGTATCAATTATTTGTATTTTTGTTAAATCACCAAGTTCAATCATAAGGGCTTCCATGATGTCACTTGCTTCCGATGGATTTTTCCCCTCAATTCTTGATAGTCGTTCTTCATAACGAACTTCATAATGTCTTCTTAACTTTGAAACAACAACGCTCGGTTTGTTAAGAGCCCTTCTAAAAATTAGCGATGAAAATGGCACAAAGAGTACCCAGCTATTGTAATGAACGCTTGTTGCAGTATATACTTGACTCATAAGACTACCAACTTCTTTCAATTCAGTATCATCTATTGGTTTTCTTTCATTAAAATATAATGAAAATATTATCTGAGTATGAAATTGTCTCAACAGATTTTTTGGATTAACCAATTTTGACTGAGTTTGTTGCAATTCCCAGGATAAATCTTCTAAAGATTTCAGAGCTTCATTTTCGATGTTGTTCATAATAAATTTCTTATGCAATTGAACAATCACTTTTTTAGATTTTTTCCACGCTTCACCATATGGTTGATGGAATAAAACTATGAATGTTATTTAATAATTAGAACATGTATTAGTTTGCCAGATATATTTTATTCGTGAAGTCTTACCATCTTCAAAGGGCAGGTCTTCAGTAACTCTTGCCTGAAAATCATCTCCCCTTGATATATAAACTTCCTTTATCAATCGTTTCGAAAATATATAAATCATCAATCTAAGTAATAGAGATTTCTATACTATTGTGTAAAACGATAAGAAATTTGAAAACTAACTTATTTCCAACGTAAACTGACACTAAATTACCATACTTTTTCCATAGGCGTTCGAAATCGTTATAAGGATTTGATGTCAAAATCCATGAGCCACCGAAAAAAGGGATATTAATGGGTCCAGGGGGAAGATTTCTAGGCTTTAAAAGGCATACCAAGATCCAATAGGTAATTAAGAACAATACAGTTGCAAAAATATAATGCTGGTAGAAATATGTGACCAGTTCGCTAATCAAATTTACAGCTAAAGAGTCTATGGAGCTCATTTTTATTCGTAATCTGCAATAGTTACAAATCAAATACATGCATTTAAATAATTTTCATCAATTAATTCTCATAATTACATTGGAAATTATATCAGAATTGTTAAAATATAGTCCAATTTTGTTTTGATGTTAACTCGCTTGTGTTTATGTCTTGAACTGTTCTTATTTGATCAATATATACTATCATTTGTTATGTCACGTGATCTATAGGCCATTATTTTTGCAGACGAAAAAACGATAAGTTATGGCTAAATCGTCTATTTCTAGGAAACAAAACGAAATTTAATGATATATTTTAAGTAGAATATATAATTTACTTTTTAAGAATATATTTGAGCAAGTTTTCATGAAAAAAAATGGCAATTTATTAACTAATTGTATGATTCATAAATGTCGTAAATGCAAATTACATGAGGTTGATTGTACTGCCAGTACTAGAAAAAAGTTTTAGGTCAGAATTAGACTAAATCTAGTACAGTAAGTTACTACGTTATTATGAGAGGAAACTACTTATGGAATGGATGACGTCCTACTAAAAGACATAGGTATAAAATATAATTAATTATCCTTAATGAAAGAATGAAATAGACGGTCTCTAGTTTCTATAAAAGAAAAGAATTGGGTTAGTAAAATCATTAATTACTATTATTGGCCTATTAATTTACACTGCAATCAACAAGTAAATTCTACAGCAATTACTTTTAAAATAATAAAGGTTTGTTTCTTTTCTCTTAAAAAGAAGAGAAAGTACCAAAATAGAATAATATAAATGTAATTCATTATATATAAAAATAGAAACCGAGGGGGATTTTTTTGCCCCAATCCTCCCAAATTATAAATTAAGCATTTAAATGGAAAAACGAAGAAATTTTCTAAAAATAGATTAATTTCCGAATTTTCTACTTCTTTAACTTTTCTTCTTTAAAATATTAATCTTCTTAACTTGTCAAGAATGTCGGATAATTATTGTTGAATGATAAATAACGAATATCTATCAAATTAAAAGGATTAACATATATTTAAGGTATTATCTTGTTCTTTTCTGTTTTTTCAATTTGCTTTCTCTATTCTTTCAGTTAATCCATCGACTTTTCTTTGATAATTGTTTTGATAACTTAACAGATGGTGGCTAATCACATGTTTTACTGGATTATCTTATAATCCTTTTTTTCATTGAATTCTCGGAATTATAATTTATTAGCTAGAAATTAGAATACGTTTTTCTTCGCTATTATATTAAGTTTTCTATATTTTCGATTAAGAAGACATAATTTCTGCATTTAAGAGAAGATAATGAATGTTTAATATACTGTATAATAATACTATTATAGGACAAATAGTAGTTTGTTAAAAGTAGACAAATTCATTAGTTATATTTAGAAGAGAAAAAATCAATCTAGTAATTTAAAAAGCTCTTTAACGATTTCAAATATTCTCTTATCAGAATTTTCATTTTCTTTCTGTTAACTATGACTCTTGAGTATATATATATATATATATTATTAGTATATACAGTGTCTATATTATAATAAGTAACCCTGCTACTCTTAATAATTCCATCGTATATAAGTCAATCTTACTTAAAATTTTAGTCTCTTCTTGTTATTTAATAATAGCTTTTTTTCAGTGATATACTGAAAGTGATTCTTATCTTCTTATGCACAGTATATAGTTCTTTTCTGTCAATCAATTGTATCATATGTAATAATCATAATTTAATGTTTTCTTAATTTTTTCTCCAGCAAACAATATTTAGTTTATAAGGTAAGAAATTAATTCTCTTCGCTTTCTATACAAAAGATAGGGATGCTTTACAAATATTCCTTTGTATTTTGTACAGATATATCTCTACTCAGAAATTATTCTTCCTCATTTCTTATTGGGCTTATATATTATAATTTGTCAAAGTGCTTCTTTCAGCGATTCAAGTGGTGATAAATTATCAGATCTCGTCTATTAATATTCTCTATCGCTATATTTTTGATTTTACAACGAATTTCAATATAAAATAGATGTTGATTTTAAAGATAATCTCTGATATTGTCAATCTTAATAAATCCTATTATCCTTCTTAAAATTGTTATTAAATTTTATTAAAATAATTAGAAAACCACTAAATATGTTGGAAAGATCTTACCGAATATCTATCCTTTAAATAATCCCAAGTATAAATAGTATACTGTATATGAGCTTGACCAATAACAAATATTTGACAAGATCTAGTTATATTTTGTTTTAACTATAAAATATTATTTTATTTGGCTGTTGATAAATACTTATCATCATTATTATTTACTTATTGGAAAAATAAGAAGATTTGTTGATAATTAAACTTGTTATACCAAATCAAGTGAATCATGAGCTTCCTTTTGTAATCTTAAAGAAAATTATAAACATTATCTTAGCAACAGGCGAAAACATGGTAAATAATAAGTAATAGATTCCCTTCTATATAGTCTTGTTAAAATTGAATAAAACACTTTGAATATTTTCTTTTAAAGACAAACAAACTATCTAGAATATAAAATTAGTAAAAAGTTGTGATAATGTTTATAAATAGCTTCGTATACTTGTAATTTCTAACTTTCATCAACATTTTTTATAGAGATAATTTTGATTTTGAAAAAGAGATTTGTTAATGATATCATAAATTACCACAGATTGATGGATAATAATAACCTTGAAAAAGTAAAAAAATAAAAAAAAGACTATAATTATCTTACCTCAGTCCCATATTGAACATTCAACTTTTAATTATTGAACCTAACCTTTCTTCTTAAAATGATTTTAATTAAATAATGTAAAAAGTTAATTTTTATTATAATCGTTAATTACCATCGATTGTTTAATCATTAACAATAACAACTATTTACTTTAAGACATCTCTTTAGAATTATTTAACTAAAAATAAATAGAAAATAATATTAAATAAATAGTTAAAACAATTGTAAAATGTCCATAAACACTAGGTGAAAAAAATGATATACTTTATAGATTCTAACTAGTGCAAGTATTCTATTTACTCTATTTAAAATAATAAAAACTCTCTTTGTTAGTTATAAAAAAAGCAATATATCAAAAGTTTATATGTATATATAGAAATTTACATGGTATCTTTGAACCATCTTTGATTATCCTAATCTTAACATGTGTTCAAAGATAAGAAATAATTATTATGACAACAAATGTACATTTTTATATATGAAAGATATGTTTGAAGACATAGGAAATCAGATTTAATTACTTTTTGATAACCGTTTTGCAGTATATATAATTTAAATTGTAAATAAAAGCATAAAATCATGTTTTATCGATTTTTTTTAGATTTTGCTGTTGTTGCTGTTGTTGTTTTTTCAATTCACTAGACTCTGTTAATTTGGAATAGAAAAAAAAAGTAGAAAAAAGTACAGTCAGCTTGTTTAATAGAATTTGTCAAAAAAAAAAGAAAATACTAATAAAACTCATTCGTGCATAACAAAATAAAAGTATAAATGCAAAAAGAGCTTTCAAAGTTTTGAAAGGAACAACGAAACTACTAAAACTATCAAGTCATTCTGAAAAAAATAAACAAAAAAGCGTCAATTAGGAATGCTTCGTTAATGTTTACAATTAATTTTTTGTAGCAATTCATTCAGTATAAAGAGATTAGGTTTTCTTAATCTATCTTGTACTTTCTACTGCCCCCTTAAGAAGTATATATATTAGTATATAAGTAAATACTATATACAGTATATACTTTTTTTTTCTTTCCTCCTTATTCTGTAGAAAGCGTTCGATAAGCCTGTTCGGTCGATAAGAATTACGCCGATAAGCGGCGCCTATAACACCATTCGAACTTTCGACGTCCGCTAAGAATGATAAAAACATATACAGTAAGACCACATAGCGCTTTCTATTTGGAAAACTTACGTACACTAAAAAAAGATATATTAAAACGAAGATCAAAAAGATCGTCAAGATGTCTAAGTGCACCACACTTTGCAAGATTCGGAGAAAAAGAAGAAAAAAAAGTAGAAGAAATTAAAACTCTCAGTTCAGAAGAGAAACTAAGATTAGCAAAATTATTTAGAATGTCGGTCAGAAAGATATTATTAGTAAGTAAAGAATTTTATAACTTATTCCTTTGTTGTTTTATATTTTATAGCATTGATATTATTTTTTTTAAGTTTATCCTTAAAAAATGACTTATATTGAACAGTTAAAACAGTAATATACTAATATAAATATACAGTATATACTGTATGTATAACATAACCTGATTCCTTTTAACTAATCAGAGTTGTTAAATAAGTTAATAAATTAATTTGTTAAGTATTATTATTATAATTATTTCAATAGGTAGCTTTTAAAATAAATTTAAACATCGATTATCAGTAAAGTATCTTATTTTAAACAGTAATAGAGATAATGAAATATTTTTCTTAATATTCTTTTATATTTACTATTTATTTTATCTGATAGCTTGTGTTTGAAATAGTAAATTTTTCTTTGTTTATAACTATCTCTCTCTCTCTCTCTCTCTCTCGCTTTCCCTTTGTTTTCCCTTCCTTTCTCTCTATTCTTTTCTAAGAGAAGACGAAAATGTAAAACTACAAAAAAAAGAGATATTAAAATATTCATTTTCTTAAGAAATACAACTTTTAGTAATCGAACAAAGCCTTTTTATTAACTTAATTATTAACTTAAATATATTCTTGAAGATGGGCGAATTAAAATTCATATTTTTCAACTCGTATTACTAGATAATTAATAATAATTAAACACAAAGAAAGTATAGTAAAATACAAGTAAAATAGGCAATTCAACCAACTATATAATATAATTAATATTGCAATTAACTAAATCTCTTTATTGAGGGATAATTGAAAAGAAAAGGATAATTATAACAATTCTTTATGTCTCTTGAACTAATTGAAAGACTTTCTTTGTAGCTCTTTTTCTCCACCACTTCGCTCTGTTTTTCTTCTTGTATTGCTTAGTAATAGAAATAGATTAATAGTCAAATCGTAAAGAATTGAATGAAGAGAGAACTTGACGATTACTTCTTTTTAAATTTTCCTTTAAGGATAAAAGATACTTGTATTATTTAGATACATCGATTACTCAAATCAATGATAATAATAAGTGAATCGAAAAGTATAAGAAGCGCTGTTGAAATGCAATGGAATGAACTTCATAGGAGAAAGCGAGATTTAAATTATGGAAGATTTGACGCTAGTCTTTTCTCACGAGCGCAAATAAAAACTTCCGTACCCAGCTGGGCAAAGAGGATTATGGCTAAAGGTCCATTAGACCGGGCTGATGATGATTGTAAGAAATTACACGCACTATTAAGAGGATTAAAAAGTTTCGATAAGTTTACTGAGCCTATCCAATTGGCCATGTGTAAAGCGTTCACATACTTTAGGTAAGAGAGCTTTTCTTAATATTTTCTCATTTTTACCTGATAAGAAGGAATAAATTTCAATCTTTATCTTGACAGTGTCGATTGTGGGAGAACAATTTTAAGAAGGGGTCACGTAGGGCAAAACTTTTATTTCATCTTCTCCGGTTCAGTGTTCGTAAACGTTGAAGAAACAAACTCAAAAGGGCAAACATTCTATAAAACAGAAGTTGTTCTTAAAAGAGGAGAGTCATTCGGTGTAAGTTGCAAATTTATTGAATTTAAAACTCTGAAATTCTCTCTTCCTAAAGTACTAATAACAATTGAAATGTACCGAATTGCTTTATTAGACTCGATTTTTTTTAAATATCTATGAATAACCGCATAGATAAGGGAATCAGGGAGGTATTATCCTCTCTCTTTCAAGTGTTATTTACAATAGCCTGGGTTGAATAAGGACAAATCCATTTTTTATTCTAACATTAAGATGTACTCTCTTTAATTATTTTAATGGAAACTTTTCAACGAAACATAGTTTAAAGTATAAAAACAACTTCACGAATCATCAAACTTGATTGAATCGATTTAGCATTTTATTTATACTACAAACTGCTATCGATTTTTTTTTTTACTTACTTACCATCAATCAAAACTTCTTTTTTGCTCTTTTTTTGTTAAAAAAAAAATAACCTACCTGAAAAAGAAAAGAGGGTAATTGAATAGTCTTTTGTTAATTTTTTTTTCGTATAAACGAAGCAAATTTTTACTCGGAAATGTTTTAAAACAACACGGTTGGAGTGAAAAAAAACAGCTATTCATTCTTTGCTAATGATATTGTTAAAGGTAAATGTTACTTAAAGAGATTAACAAGGTGTAGATTGATAGAATAGTACTTAGATGTATATTAATTTGTCGATAAGGAAAAATTTACTTAATTTATATACTGTATATTAACACAGGTAGCCTATTCTATAATATATGCGTATATTAATTTTCTGATACAATCAACCGATTGAACACCATTATAGACTGTTCTAGAGGGCTCTAACAGAAGAGGATCATTGAGTTATCTGTACTAACTCGTTTTATTTGTTTAAATAATAAAAATAGAGATTTATTGAGGAAGAAATGTTTTATGAAGTTCTTTTAAAAAATTTTATTCTAACAGGAATTGGCTCTCTTAAAAGATATCCGGCGAACTGCTACGGTAACGTGCCGAGAGAGTTGCGAGATGTTTGTCGTCGATAAGGAAGTGTTTGCGCAAGTTTGTCCACGGATATTCGAACGTGAATTGGATGAAAAGCTTCGATTTTTAAAGTGACTTTCATCTTGTTTAACTATTTTGTTTTTTACTTCTAAATTTAATTTTGCATCTTTCATCCCATTTATTAGGTCTATAAACATCTTCCAAAACAAGTTTTGGTCTCCTGACAAACTGAGTAGTTTAGCTTTTGATGCTCAAATACAACAGGTAAGAGAAACGTATACTGATAAACTATAGCAAAAGATATGTTGAATTAGTATACAAACTGAGAAAGCAGTCAAGGACGTAAAGTTAATAATTTAAGTCATTTATTAATTTCCTTTAGAATAGAGTAATGGCGTTCAATAAATAAAAAAAAAGACATGATATATTTTTGCAATCCTATCCTTTTTATCTGTCGATGTTTTACTTTCTTTATACTTTTAAATTTGACGATTACAAACAAATTTCAATCAGTGAAAAAGAGATTGTCAAATAGCAAATCAGATCGGAATTTTCAATAACTCTTTTTATTTTGCCAATCAAGCTTCCTGATGAATAATAGTCTAAATAATATTTTTCTTTTAAACAGTTCAAAACTAACAAAGTCGTGGTAAAGGACAGCTGGAAGGATGAATGGTTTTATATCTGTATGACTGTAGGTTATTCTTTTTGCTTTCTTGAATTTAAGACGTTATAGTTAATTTTTGTTCAGGGGCAGTGTAAAGTAATTAAGTGTCTTAGTGTTCACGACGTTCGAAATAGACGAATCAGCGTTAGAGAGGATCATGGTTTAAAGGGAAAATTGAAAATTTTAAAAACTTCAACTATATCTAGCTCTGAGGATGATGATGATCGGGACGAATACTTTAGTGAGAATGAAGAGCACAGAATGATTGATTCTATTGAAAAGAAAAGACTATTAGCTGCAATGGAAGTTCGATATAGAGATTTGGACGAAGAAGAAGATACAAACAAAAGCTCATCGAACCTCGTTCTCAGATTTAGGGAAGATGAAATAAAAGAAGAAAGCGAAGAGGAATTTGAGGAAGAAGATCGATCAGGAATAATTACATTGAATACTTTAATGAGAGAGAAAAAGAGAAGCAATCCGGATAGAATATTCGTTTTCATGCATATCGGCAATTTAGACAGCAAACAAGCTTTTGTGAGTACATGGGAAATTATTAATTATTAATTATTAGTTATTAAGTTTTCCCAAAAAATCCTCACTTTGCCAGCTCTATGTTATTTATAGCATTAGTACCATGAAACTGGGGGAAAGGAGGGGGGAAATACGTCAGTTTTTTGTTAACATAAATCCCACTTTTCCGTTAATTTCAATTCTCACGGTAAAATTATTACACCTGGCGTATCGAGCGTTCAATACTTCTGAGAAAGCAACTAACAACGTGCAAACAATATTCAATATTATTCCTTAGGATATTTTCCCCTAACACAAAGTGTATATACAATATAAACGTTCAATTTGGTATTTTTTTCAATTCCATTTCCGTTCAAAATATTCATGTAAATCATTAGAGCATAATGGTTTTGGATACAAACAAAGGTGTAATTGTATAAAAAGTTTAATATAATCGTTAAGTTCTAAGTGTAGATATATTTATTGAATAAGACTATGATTTTTGTGATATAGTTGTATAATATACATATACACATATGCTGTACAAGTATAGATATCAACTTTGAGAGAGCTGTACTAAAATTAGAAATCGATTATCTAAGAGTTCAATTAACTGATAGTGTAGTTCGTTTCTTTTACGAACATTAAAAACCATTTTACAGTTATTTTTTACTTGAATTGATTTTCTTCACACTACTGTATACTTTGACTTGATTCATTTTTAATAACGTATAATATAGATAAGAAATTTTAACGTTTTTTTAATAATTCATAAGCAAATGTAAAATATTTACAACTCTGTCTGAATTCTTATCTTTTAACTTTTAAGCATATTAAAATCAAGAAAGAGAAATTATTAAATATTTATAATAAATTTATCCATGTTTATTGAACAGCAATATATTTCATTACTTCAATTATAAGTTATGCTTTTATACAGGACATAAAACCTTTGTTTGAGAAGGACAAAGATAAATCTAGCGGTCTAATACTAGTTAGTAATGGTTGTAAAATGTTCAGAATACGCAAAGAAACGTGGAAAAAGATGATGAATCATGAGTCAGAACAACTTGTGGATCATGTCAAGTCGATTGCTGATAATGATCCGTATGTGAAGATTTTAATTTCCTTCGTCTGTTAAGATGCATATACGTTTATTTTGCTTATTAGGTATCCTTCTGAAAGAACAATTATAAGTAGTTACCTCCAAAAGTGCCAATGGGAAAGCTATAAAAGACAAACAGTCAAATCAGCTCTGCTATGTAGTAATAGATTTACTGATATTTTCATACGAAAATCAGCAAACAAATCTAATGAAGTCATAAATAGATTAAGACGGCTCAGCGCAAAATCCAAACCGGATATTGAACCAATGAAAAAGAAATTAAATGAATCCAAGGAAAGAGATTATGTAACAAAATGGTTGGCAGATAGTGTTCAATTAAAGCATAAAGACAATGAAATTCGTATAGAAGAAACTATAACAATCGAAGATCGAAGAAGAATATCGATGATAGTTCCAAAAGTGGAAAAGTTTACATAAGAAGAATGAAAAGAGGAAAAAGTTGTGTTTGTTCATGTGTGTGTGTGAGAGAGAGAAAGACAGAGAACAAACATCTCATTTTAATGAAGAGATTCTTACTTTTTAAATGGAAAGTTCAGTATTAAGTAGAAAACTTTAATTTTTTAAATACTTCAAGGAATAATTTTCTTGATTTGACATAAAAAACGCAACTCTTATAGGAAGAATGAAATAGTCAAATGATATGAAATTTTGTACATGAAAAAGTTTTCCTTTTTGGTTGAAATTTATTAAAAAAGAAAGAGAAAAGAGAAGAAACTATTAATACAATTACATATTGTGTTAGGCGAGATAGTCATGCAGAGTAAAGAAATTCTATATGTCAGTTTATACTAAAGAGAAATATGTTTTCTTTAACAAATCCATACGAAACATGTCACCTTGAATGGGTTTTTTGTTAAGTCAACACTCTAATCTATATAGAGAATAGGAGAGAATAAACCCTATTTACACTTGACACTCTTTAGAATAAACCTATTATTTTTCTCCAAGTACAATTTTTCATATTTGAATATTTAATGATGAAATTTTGCATGCCATATAACAGTTTTCAAACACCCTCTTACTGACAAATTCTGATATATACTACGATATACATTCACTATCATATATATAGATGATATTTTGTACAAAAATAATCCAATAGATGGCATTTTCATCATATTTATATCAAAGTACAATTCTTTAGAAATATGAAAACTGCAGTGGCTTAATGAATACTCATTTCGAACGAAAGGCCATCAATATTTTATATTGCATAATTCTTGAACGTTTTGCGATAGAAAAGAAACTTTCAAGCGTCTTTGCTTCTTTCAAAAACCTTATAAAAACCTGGTTTATTATTGTATATTATGATGAGTCTAAAATACATGTTTTCGTTTATTCGTTACGTTCTTTAGGATTCAAGAAAAGAAAAAACCCTATTAATATTTAATCGTTATTTTATTTGTATACATTATACCTATTTGTTAAAGTAGAGTACATATTTCGCAACATATCATACTTTCCAGATATTACGTCACGCATAAACATAACATCTAGGGTATTAGATGTAATTGACAAGTAAATGGATTTTCTTAACATTTGAATTATTAAAATGTATAAAGAGTATTAGAAATATGCCGATAGGACCGTTTTATTGGCTAATAAAAAACATACCATAAAATTTTTATTTAGACGACTATCTCCATACTTTTTCACCTTAAATCCACCAATTTTCCCATATGAATCGTTATTCATTCTTCATATAAAAATTCTACAATATCACCCTTACTCTATAATTTCTCAAATAAAAACTTATTAATTAACCAAACTCATATACTATATACTATTCTAATCAAAAGTTGCTACTTTGCACACGACAACAGAGATAAGGGGTATGAAAATTAGTAGAATTTTTCCCTTTCTTCTAATTTTTTAGATAAGGCACAGTCTAAAATAGATAGAACAATTTAGAAGTTTCTCAGATATGGATGCATTAGCTGAATTTTGGAATGACAGTAGCAAAACTACAGAAACAACTGCTTTTCAAAACGTTTTGAGACAGCAACAAACTATGGAGAAGCAATTATCGAAGGGTATATTTCAGTTAGCAAATACGGGGAGTGTCATAATCGATATTGAAAGAGAAGCCGGTTAGCTTAGTATAGCATAATTGATTAATACTTTCAAATATATGTGTAAAAGGTAATAATTTAAAATTTACCATTATACAACAGCTAAATCTCGATTAGTCAAGTTTAAAGTGAGACATGCTGAAGGAAACGAGTTATTTTGTGGCATTCAACGTAAGTTCTTAACTCTTTAGTTCAACTTTAGTATATATTGTTTGTTAATTAATATGTTATCTTATAGTCCGAGATCCTACAACTAGAGATCATCTAGCCAGAAGAGAAAGCTATCAGTATCTTGTCAGAAAGTTCAATTGTCATGACCCAATGGTCATTAAACCGTCAAGAACAAGAAAATCTGTATATGATAGTGTAATTATTCAGGCTCCAGATGGCAATACTATCGGATATATTTTACCAAGGTATTTTAAAAATATATTTTATTAATTTATTCATATCATAACTTTGTTTAAATTGAAATCTCCAATAGACCTGAGCATATGTTTACTGTTTTGGATTTTTCTGGAACTTCCTTGTATACAATAACAGCAAATTTTGAGAATTCTCTCTTTTCCTGTTATTGTAATAGGAATTTGAAGCCAATTTCGTATGACGTAAGACCAGAGCATCTACAATACTTTAAATATACTAAACATATTAGATTTTCTCTGAATGTCGGCTATATTACAGATAAAATTGACTAAGATCAATAAGATAACGGGAAAAGTAAATCTACTAGGACCAAAAAATATGCGAAATGGTGTTGTTATACGCTGTGGGTTTACTTAATTAAAATATAGAACAGGTAAAAAGTTTAAATAATTTTAGACATGCCACAAGCCGAAATAAGCCACGCTGCTGTTTTAATTGGAGCATGTGTTGTGTTAAGTACATGGGGCGAAGCAGTAGAAGATTGAAACAGCGTCTACTTACCTTACTTACATTAATAAACCTAGAGTAAACTATATTCTACATGTGCTTAATCTAATGATTTCATTTCTTTTTATTAAATACCAATTAATTTCATTCTTTCAATTTGAGCATAAATAAAAAGAAGTAAAAGAGTAAATATTGCAATAAATTAAGATCTTGTATACTCTTTTTGTTTCATTTTCCATATATCATATCAAGTTTATACTCTTTTATGATTTAGTTCACTTTTATAGTAAAATTTTGAGAGAATACAACTAAATGTTTGACAATATCATGCATGGAAAACAGGTGTTTTTTATTCTTAATCTCATCTCGTTAAGTAAGTTTCTCTATTTTTTTCTTTTTTTATGTTCAATTGATAAACTGATTTCTTACTCTTTTGTTTATCAAGGCTATGGATTCAAGAAGGTGAAGAGTAGCTTGAAAAATACTGTAAATCTTAATGAAACAATAGGTTATGAAGAATTTTTAAAGGACTTAATGACCTGGTCTGATTTTATTGAGAGGAAGAAAATAAATTCTCTAGATTTAGAGAATATTGGTTTTTTTATAAAATTATTCCAGAGTCGGAATGAAACTATCTGTAAAGGAGATCAACGAATTAATTGTAATTTAAGGCATATTAGATGTGCTCAGTACTCTCTTCGAATGTTTATCAACGAGGAATACACCTTAGAAAATGTCTTTAATAATATTAAAAAAGCTAAAAATGAAAAGGAAATAATGAAGTATATAACAGAATTCAATATCGACTCAACGACAATGTACTATCCTAAAAATTTGAATTTTAAAAATGTCGGCAATTTAGGTATAAATCAATTTTTGAATAAGGCTTTGATCTATATAAGAATAATACAACAAAAATACATAAGATGTCTTAAAATTCTTACCAATGATGATCTCTGTATCTGTATTGATGGTTAAATTGATGTGAATATGAAAACTCTGTAAAATTTGAATAAACTTCTAAATAATTACACATTCTCAAAACAAATGATACCATATAGACAATATTTATACATTTACTGAGGCAAATTTTACTGTTATCAGTACCCGATAAGAAAGTACTGAGAACTATAATATTTGTGAAAGAATATGCTAATATTTTATGATACTTGTTTGTTAAAGTATAATAGAACTTTGAACAGATGTATTGAATTAGACTTTAATAGGCGATTTTTTTTAAATCATTCCTATTTTATGAGGATTATAAATCAAAAGCAAAAAAACCGAATTAGACAAATACTGCTATGTTAAATAGGAAATAACGTGAGAGTTTCTCTAATCCCTTGAGATTAGTAAACCGAGAGAATGAAATTGGTAACAATCTTACTTCTTTTTATAACATTAGAACAATCGTTGTCTTTGAAAAATTATAGTATGACTTTTGGAGATTTTGGTAAACTGTTTCTTCCATGGCAAGATTATCTTAAAAGTTTCAGACGAGATAAGCTATCGTTAGGAATAAAAGGTAATGGAGAAAATCTAGAATTGGTTTTAAATTTGTTTAGAGGAAAAGATAGATTGAAGAGGTGTAAAGATCTTACTGATTGTAGGAATATGCACAGAAAATGCCTTCAATATGCATCTAAATATCTTGTAAATGACTTAATGAGATTCGAAAAAACTTTGTTGTATAAAAAGATAAAGGATGCGAATGGAATTCCAAGCGAAAATTTACTAAAAGAAGCCGGAAAGATTCAATACGAAATGATAGGCTTCAATAAAAGAAAATTTTACCTATGCAAAGATAAAAGTATATCAAGTTGGGATTGTTTAGATCAATTAATTGTTATAGAGACAAGAAAATTGTCGGCAAACTATCATCATTGTATGACTATTGGAAAGAAGAAGGAAAGCAAAAATACCGAATGCATATGCATTTATTTAAATGGTGAAAATTTACATAATTATTTGTAAATACATTAAATAAACAATTATGATAATACGTGTATTACTTCTTTTTTTATGTGTAAACTTGACATTAACCTTAATAACGACCCTTGCAGGGAAAAGGGATGAAAAATAAATAAACCTCAAACAGAAGTCACACTTCTTCATAAATAATTCATAACAACTAATATTGATATTTGCTTTACTAAAATATGTATTTCTTTCTCTTTATCCCTAACGTTTTTGCAAAGATTGCAACACTTTTAAATGGTGGTTAAAGATTTATAAATGGCTTTGAATGGTAGTTTTAAATAGCTGAATAATAAAATAATAATAAACTGTACGTTTGCCTTCATCTTTAAACTTAGCTGAAAATAATAATAGAAATATACCAGACAAAAAATGTTTCAAGTTTCCAATCAGCCTAAATAAAAAAACGATTCCATTTGCCTTAAGATTAATCTCCAATTAAAGAAGATCATAATATCTCTAACCTTAAATCAGTTGCTTGATAGAGGGCGTCTATCACAGTAACAGACCTACAAAGCGTAGATTATAACTCACTCATAATCGGCGATGCAGCAATTGCTCACAAGAAATTCAAATAAGAATCATGTTAAATGTTTACAACCAACAAGTATGGAAATGATAGACGAAGGCCATGATCTTTGGCTGAACCATTCAGCTCTATTTAAGGTTTTATAATTCTTCTTTAATTGAATATTTTAACGATACATCTTAAACTTTTGATTTTTGTAAATGAATAATTATGTTATTGACTATATAATGAACCATAAGAATATGATAAAAAGGAAAACATTATGTCAAAAGTGACTCTTTTGTTAATACTGGAATAAATTGTTTATGAAAGCTTCCAATATCAATTGGTTCATTAATAGTCAAGTGTACATTTTCAGTCTCCCATTGGGGTTCGTAATGTTTCTTATTCAATCACCATTGAATAACATAAATGAATAATAATATTGTTTTCAAGTATACAACTAAAGAAAATAGAACAGAAAAAAATATAAGTTTTATAATAACTGAAAGTATGGTCATTTAGCTATTTATACGAAGAGTGAAATATTTGATATAATAATACTTGAATGGCTAAAAGCCTCTTTTCGTGAATACGTACAGCATAATAGAGACAAAAGGTTAATATGTATTTTTATATGACCCTTTTACCTCAATTACATAATCGATCATGCGTGAGCAAAGCTATTTATCCATCTGCTTTAACGATTAAAAAATAATGTAGTTGTGACTATTTGAAGTAATAAAAGTTTCTGTTGTAAAATTAATAGTTTTATCAGCTAAATTATGACCTACGATCCTATATAGAAAAGTTTGTCATATTTGATTCTCTATTCTTTCATCTGGTTTGTCTTTTCTATTCTTGCGCAATATCATAATTATTTTGTGAAGAGTAGCTCGTTATCTTAATGCAAGGCTATAATGGTATTGAAACATCATATATAAGATAAAGCATCTGAGACGTTAATATATCGGAAGAAAGATTTAAGTGATTTAAAAGCTCCATAAAGTGTCAAGTAACGATGCAATTGTATAAATATAAAAATGTTTCATTAATGATTAGAAGCCAAGTTAAGATATGGGTCGTAGTCTTGTTTTTATGTCAATTATACGTATTTAGATTTTGCAATCAAGCCATTAACATACATAATCCATCATTTAATATTATAACCATTTGCTTGAAATGAATTTCATTATAAATGTATTTTCCTTTTTCATATATTTGCATTCCTTTTAAGTTCCTGTATTAACGACGAAACCAATGAATTATTCAACTTTTTCCAACATGTCTGATATATAATACGCACCAATAAGAGTTTTGCGTCACTTCGGAAGAATGCGAAAGAAAAGTATTTTACCATTCAACGAGCGGTGCGCTAATATAACTGAATTGTTTAAAGTAATACTTAACTCAAATATCTTTTACAGAATAAAAGTCTTTTTTTCATTTTGTCCACTTTAATTCTTGTTTCTTTCTTTGTCCGTTTATGCAAAATAGGCAGCTGAAGATGGAAATATTAATAAAGTTGAAACAATTTTGGATAATAAACCTGATTGGGCTAACGCAAGAAATAATTCGGGGGAAGCTTTGATTCATTGTGCAACAAGAAATCGCCAATATGATATCCTTCACTTATTGTCAAGATATAAATTGGGTAAAATATTTCACTTTTTTTATATGTACATTAAAACGTCAAACTTTAATCATTAATTCAATTATAGATGTGGATATAAAAGATTCTAAAGGAGACACAGCCCTTCTTGTAGCCACAGAAGAAGATGATAGAGAAGCGGTTCACATTCTACTTAAATTGGGAGCTGATCCTAACATTCCCAATAAGAATATTGAATCAGCTTTGCATATTGCTACTACCGAAAATAGAATTAATATTATTCGTGTAAGAAAATCAGACAAAATTTCATTTCAATTGTTTATTTAACGGTTTTTTTCAGGAACTTTTAAAATGTAATAGAACTGATCCTTCTATTACTGAACGTACTGGAGGAACACCCCTTCATGTAGCTGCATTTAAAGATAACGAAGAAGCGGCTAAATTATTGGTATACCATACATGAATCATTGCTTAAAAGATTAATTTGTTTTTAAAGAGTGGCCAGATTGTGTAATCATAAAAAATGACTCTAAAAAGTTTTTACTGTTTCATTAAACCGAGATAAGACAATCTTAGATAAAAAATATGTTATATATATTTTTTGCGTAGGCTTACATAAATTTATGATAAAAAGTTTGCAAAAAAGAATTATGTTTGCATTTTCATAGCTAGAAGCTGGAGCAGGGATGTGCAAAGCCTGTAGTATGGGTTTTACACCTATGCATGTTGCGACTATGAGAAACTCAAAGAATGTTTTACAAAGACTGATTCAACAAGGTATTTTCTATAAACTGCATAAACTAAATTGTACAAGTACACTATTTTCAATCAACAGCCGAAGCTTCGAGTATGAATAGTAAAGGACAAGCGTGTCCGTTGAGAATGCATAAGCTTCCATTACACGAAGCTGTTCTATCTGGGGATGAGACTATAGTGAAAATGTGCCTTACCTCTGGCGCGTCCATTGATACTAAAAAAGCTAATGGAGAGACAGCTGTTCATATCGCAGCTTCGAGAGGTTCCGTTAATATTCTAGAGGTAAAAATTGGCTTTAGATAAATCCCCATTAACAATAGCAGATAACAATACTAATGAGAGAAATAATGAGATTTAAGCTCATATTTTCCGTCATGGCATTCAACAAAGATATTAATTAACATATAGATAAAAATTTTATCGAGACATGGTATTTTAAAAATATATAAACTTATATGCTAAATTCGCTCTTACATTCACAGATACTTTTTCAAGCTCAACCTGATAAGAAACTTAAAAGCTTGCAGTCAAAAGATAGTAGTATGATGACACCTTTACACACAGCTGCACTTTTTGACAAACCAGATGTTATAGAATATCTCATTCAACAGGTATTAGCTTTTGTGTTATTACATTGGAATATTTCAATCTTTTTAAAATTTACTTTTACTAAAGGGAGCTGATGTTAATGAAACAAATCAAGATGGCATGACCCCATTATTGCTAGCCGCATCCAAGAAGGCGTGGAAAGCTATGGAAATGCTTATGAACAAAAAGGCAGATTTGTTCTGTACGGATGATAACAAGAGAAATATACTTCATCTTATTGTAACGAACGGTGGGAGGCCTGAAAAAATGTGCTTTTTGTGTTGTAAGGTAAAAGTGAAGTCCCTATTAAATGATCAAGACTCTGAGGGATGTACACCTCTCCATTATGCGTCTAGAACGGGAAATTTCAATACAATTGCGGCCTTTATTGATATGGGAGCATTTTTGAATGTTAAAGATAGAGAGAAGCAATCTCCATTGCACTTTGCTGCTCGATACGGTCGATTTCATTCCTGCAAACGATTATTAAATGTGGTTAATGGCATGAACATTTTGAATGAATTAGATGAAACGGGTCAAACTCCTTTACATCTGGCATCATATGGTGGTCACACCAGAGTTGTTGATTTTCTTTTGACTATGGGGGCTAGTTTACAAAAAGATTTCGCTGGTAATTCACCAGCCCATTTGGCGGCAAGCAGTGGATATATGGCAACACTATCCGTACTTTTGGACTGGAATGGCAATTTGACAAATGATGAAAACTCGGATGGTAATACCCCACTACATTTGGCAGCCCTTAATGGTCACGCCTCTTGTGTTAACCTATTATTGACAAGGAATGCTGCGTTTAAAAAGAACAGCAGAAGTGAACATTTCATGGATATGATTATTCTAAATGAGCATAAGGACGCAGCTGTTACAGTTGTTACACATGAACGTTGGAGAGAGGCTCTAAAATATTGTAGCTCTCAGTTCTGCTGGCCTGCTGTAGGAATGATTCAACACCTACCAGAGGTCTTCCAAATCGTTCTTGATAGATGCAGGCAGCCATCTAGCATGGATAGAAAGCATAAGGATTTTCATTGGATTTACAGTTTCGATTTCCTACAACTACCCATGGAAGCTGTAAGAAAGCTGAGGGAACAGAAGAAAGTTTATACTCCCCTGCTGACCTTAAACGTAAACTTAAACACAAATATTATTATTAATAACAATTTAAATAATTAATCTAATCACTGCAGATCATGGTTAAATACAACAGAGTTGATCTTTTATCTCACTCAGTTTGTCAGGGTTATTTGCAAATGAAATGGAAAGCATATGGCATGTGGATTCATACAATAAATCTGATATTTTACCTCATATTTCTAGCATCACTTAGTACGTTTATTGCAACCTATGATCCCAGATATCATACTGACAAAGGCTTAAATGGAACTGGACTTCCTAAACGCTGGCAAAGGCATGAAAAAGAACAGGTACTAATACCATTTATCCTAACGCAACTGACAGCAATATAAATACAAATTCCACTCTCTAAACAGCTTGAACCGTATCAGAAAGTTTTTGTGTACATCATTATAGTGTTCTCATGTTTGAACATTATTAAAGAGTTTGGGCAAATGATTCAACAGGTCTGCTATAACTACAACATTCAATAAAACATAGTATAATACATTTTTATTTGCTTTATATCTTAGAAATTTAAATACTTTACCGACTTAACGAACGCAATTGAATGGACGCTTTACATAACTAGCATGTTGTTTATCGTTCCGTTCGTGAATGGAAAGTATGTAATTGAATTATCTCTTGTTTACTATTACTAACTTATCTTTATGTTTTAGATCTAGTCATTGGCAATGGGAATATGCGGCAGTTTCCTCATTTTTCGCATGGCTGAATCTATTACTATTCTTACAACGGTAAATATTCATATTTGAACGCATTACCGATTTAGATGTGACAGTAAAATATTACTTTTTCTCTTTTCAGCTTTGACTTTTTTGGCATTTATGTCGTTATGTTTATGGGCATATTGAAAACTCTAGTCCAAGTACTGATTGTGTTCTCCATCTTGATTGTTGCATTTGCCTTCGCCTTTTACATACTCATGTGTGGAGAAGAATCGCCAACAAATCAAACAATTGGTTTATCAATGCTATCCGTTTTTGTTATGATGTTGGGAAATATTTATTATATTGAGAACTGGGTTAAACCATTTGTAGACGCCGACCCATATACGATGCATTTTAGTTCTCTGTCTTTCATGATACTCCTCGCTTTTATTTTGCTAATTGCCATTCTCCTTATGAACTTACTAATTGGTCTTGCCGTTGGGGATATTGAATCTGTGCAAAGGAATGCTCGTTTGAGGAGATTGGCCATGCAAGTGGATATATTTACCGAACTGGAGAGAAAGATACCTCAAAGATTCTTGGAATTTGTCGACAAGACAGAAGTGAAAAATTATCCCAATATTCGCTGTAGAAGGATGTCTAAATTTGTGAACTCTCTTGTCCATTTTGAGGAAGAGAGTCATTCTTTTGACCAAAAACTTGATGATCCAGATGTTGATCATAAGGTTTACATGTTCGATGAATTTGCCAGACAAAGAAAGAAAATTGATAAGCTTCAAGTGGCACTTGAAAAACAATTTGAATTAGTAAGATTAGTTGTTCAAAAAATGGAAATTAAAAGTGAAGATGATGGCGTTGAAGACGATGATAGCGATGATGATCAGCACTCGGATAATTGGGGTTCAATGAATTGGAGAAAATCTTCTGCATGGCAGAAAACTTCAATTATTAATTTCTGGAAAAGGGAAGCTTCAGCAAAGAAACGATCAACAGAAGAATTTTCAATGAGAAGTTCAAGCCCCACCTAAAAAATATTCGTATTGATTCAATATGAACACTTCTCCCCTTAGTTGTTGTACTTCTTTGTTGTCAGGTATTTGAACAATGCTACTAACTTGAACACAAATATAAATAACTTTATGAAAAAAAGCATATTTGTTGCTTACCTTTCGAGATGTTCGAGAGATATTTGTGAATTATTAAAAAAACCTCTAGCTCACACCCATCATCTCATAAATGAATATACAGTCACGATAATAAGTGATTGTTACAAGGGATAAAAACTTTTAAACAAGTGAATTTTTTCATGGCCAAAATATTTTTATAGTCTAGATTATTTCATAAGCTATTAAGTAATTTCAAAGCGGTTGCTATGTATCTAAAATTAAGAGTTATAGTCTGCCAGATTACATACAATAACCAGAAGAATTGTGGTTACAAAAAATGCAAATTTATCCTAAACCGAACAGGACAAGCATTTTTACAAAACTGCTCTGGCCTTCTGAGACTTTTCCATAAAACACAAATTTAAATAGGAAGTAAATTAATGAAATACTATCATATTGCTTAGGATGATAATAGTAAAATACAACCGGAATTTTTACAAAACGGTTCTGACCTATTAAGATACATTATCTTAAAAAAAAGTAAAAAAAAGTTTTATGCTGTTGAATTTAAGGAAAATTAGAAAATATTATCAAAATATCCAATTTTCTCATACATGATATTCTAGATGAAAATAATATATGATATGAAAAGAGTAATGCTAATTACACACAGATCTTTTTCAGTAATTTTTAAAGCTAAAAATATCCCTTTAGTTAGTAAAAGAAGTGAAAAGGTGAAATCTAGAAAACACATTAGGGTAGAAAATATAATCCATGTTTTTTCAACTTTCTTTTTCGATTTTCCCAAAACGATGAATAATCTTATCTCAAATAGTATTAATCTAATATACCAACACAAACTTAAGACAGAGAGAACAAAGAAAGAGAGGTTTCATTTTAAAAGATAAAAGAAGTTTAAGTTTACATTGTATAAAATACTTAAGGATGTAAAATAAACATTAAGCTATTGTTATTAAAATAGTGTTTTCTCTTTTAATATCAAATTTTTTGAATAATGCTCTAATTGAATAGTGAAATTTTTTCTAGATAAAACAAATAGAAGTAATAGAATAATACGAAAATTCCTTTTTATGAATTTACTTAAGTATAAAGCAATAAAAATTCTCACTGAATGATGAAGTTTTTAAATAAATTATTGCAATCTGTAAATAACATACATTTATATAAAATGACTAATACGAAAAAATATCATTTATAATTATTATGTAAATTAATCACCAAAAGATTTCAAATGCAATAAGTGACGGTCAAATTAAATCTTTTAGATACAGTCATGATACTAAGTAATTGTTACAAAGGATAAAATTTTTAAACATGTGAATTTTTTGATGGCCAAAACATGTTTATAATCTAAATTATTTCCTAGGCTATTAAGTAATTTTAATACGGCTGCTATGATCCTAAAATTAAGAACTATTGTCTGCCAGAAAATAGGTTCTGATAAAAACAAGTTCTAGATAGGAAGCAAATTAATATTAAATCAGAATCTTATATGGAGATTTAATAAAATGCTATGACAACTGAAAAAGTATACAACACAAAGGTATAGTGGTTGATTTGACTTTTTTTGTTTTATTTTCGTTTTCAAACATACCATTTGTCAGTGGCGTAGATGGCGCATTTGTTCATATATTTCTAAACTTACGATTGGTATAAAGCCACACACACACACAAACTTCTCCACAGTTTATATTCACTGGCTGGTGAGAAAGAATAAATTATTCGACATGTCTATTTTAGAAAACTTGAAGTCCGCTTCTACAGTCTGTAAACTTCATCTTTTTCTTCTTCCAATCGTGCTATTACTACACATCGTTGGAATAGCTATTCCGGAGTGGATAAAATTTGGTGATACTAAAATAGGATTATGGAAGCTCTGCAACTATGGAAATTGTGGTGAATACGGTTCAAATGCATCCGACTATATTAAAGCTTGTCAAGCTTTTGCAATAATTGCAACGCTGAGTCTGATTGGATGTTTAGTGGCCTTATGCCTTAGAACATTCACCGATTTAATAAGAAAGAAACTTCTTACGCAAATCATAATAGCCACATCCATTTGCTCTGGTAAGATATTTTGATAATAAAAGCCTATATTAATTATCTAATGTGAATATCTCAGTTCAAGTAAATATTATTGGCCAATGTTACATTTAATCTTTTTATTTTCAGCTTTCAGCTGTCTAATAACGGTAGCTGTATTTGCTGGAAAATCGAACGACACTGGCAGGAAGAATTTACACGCTGGCTTCGCCTTGGTTTGTATATCACTAATAGGCTCTATTGTGAGCGCCATTCTCGGCTACATTGAAGGAAAAAAAGATTAATTCTTCAAGATTTTTCTAATAATTTTTGATAAATTAAATAATTTTTGCTACATCTATTATGTTTCACTTACCATGAGCACAAATATATATTTATAGTAATAGCTGTTTTTCTTTCTATATGATTTGTACTTTATGTAACATTTTATACGAAATGTCCTTAAATAATAATTATTCCTCTAAAATTCAATATTTATCAATTTTGTCTCCACAATAACATTTAAAGAAAATGTTATCATTTTTTCACTATTTTTTTATGTTTATTAAGAGATTTTTTATTCAAAATTATATTAGGAGTTTGTCTTTTGAATATAGTATAAAGGTACAAGTACAAATTGGCATATAATACATTGACTTGGGTGTCTTAGTTAGTTTAGCCTTGCGTGAAAGTTGATTTTCAAAAATTTTACGAATAAAGATATTAAATAATCCAATGAAAGAATTGCGTATTTCATATATGTTTGCCCTATACACACACGTTTCTCTTTCATATATCTATCCTTCTATCCACTTTACTACAATTATATTAAAAATAGTTTGAAATTCTTATATAAATAACTATCTCTATTCTGCAATGTAAACTAAATTCATTGTTATATGCAAACAAAGAGAGAGTATATATTGTTTTTAGGAAAATATATAAACTTTTTCATTGGTTAATTTGTATGATAAAAACGTTCGTATAATAATTTTATTAATAATTTCATCTAAACCTTATGACAGATTCCTTTTTTTTCACATCATAATTTAATTAGTTTACAAATATAATAACTTAAAATGTACATAAGGAAAAAGCATCCAGGATACTTCCACGTTCCAGGCATCATGAGCTTTATAGAAAGAAAAAATATTATGAGTACTTGTTGAATATAGAGCTACATATGGTTCTCGTATATAGTTTCAGATATTTTTAGAGCATACTTCCCCTGTCGAAGTTCTAAATATACACGGCAAACTGCTGATGTAGAGAATGCTATCGTTGTTTTTATCAGGTTACTCGAAGGGAAATCGAATCAGCTATATTATAAGATTTTTATATATAAGCATAGTTTAACATCTCTACTATTATTCTTTATTAATAATTCATTAGTTTTGTTAGTCTTAAATATATGTATCTTTTTATAGTATACAAGGACAAAGTATATCTCTAAGTTATCGTTAAGTTAACATTCTGTACTATACTTTCTAATCAGTCATGTCAGTGGAAAACACTATATGTTTAAGTACAGAATCATTATAGTACTGTGTACATAATAAATATGAATGTAAATCGTAAATGTATGTATAAGGGCAAAAATTCTCTTTCTGCTATTTAGGAAATACTGGGCACTGAAATTAATTAATACATTAAACATTCCTCTTTAAAAAGCAACAACTCGCGACTGTGATACTGGAAAATATGAATAATCACCATTGTAACTGTAGACTTCAAAACTATATTTTAAATTTCCTAAAATAAATAGTATAAAGGCAAGCTTTCGTATACGCAGTATAGTATATTTATAACCTATTCATACTATAATTTACATATCTGTGACGAGTATGGATTATGCGTGTATATGATTGATTTCTTTTTTTAAATATGATAGAACCGGAAAATATATGAATCATTGAAATTTTTATCAAAAATTTCCTGTCAACCCAAGACCCAAGCAAAAACACGAGTATATATTCTATACAACAATACAGGCTACAAGAGTCAATTTTACAATTTCTACTATCCACTAATGCCTCATTAATTGCTATAATAAAACAATAATTTTGCAAAAGATAAATTCACTAGCCGAATAAATGAGAGGTGAAAACATGAACATAAAAAAAATGCTTATAATTCCTTAATCAAATTAGTAGATATTAAATATCTACTTTATTACTCAGAGGATAGAATAAAAAATTTTTGCTGATAATGAATTTAAAATTTATTATACTTGTAGAAGAAAGAATATACAAAAATTCAATGTGAAAATAGAGGTTACGTCCCATCCATTTTTTTTCTAAAAAAAAGAATTTTCACCCTAAATATTTATTCTACTTTGAAGGAAGCTAGTGTTGTATACGAATGATTTATACTTGCCTATAGTTTTGTTAGAATAAATTTAAAATTTTTTGTATTATTCTACTTTAGTCTAAAAATGATGGCTTACGCCAAAAAAGATATTAATTGATTTTAGCATTAAGAAAATACTGTGGGCAATTTACTTCAATATCAGAAGATTTCGTTTACGAGTGTTCTATATCATACTCAATGTAAATGATAAACATTTTACAAAAGATAATTCAATTGGTATTACTTTTTGCAGATATTTGTAAAATAACTTCTTTGTGATTAAAATTCAAGGGAAGCATACCTCTTTCTTAAGGTAAATTGTCCATTAAAACAGTACCTCCCCTTTTATAATTTAACTATGACTCATCTTCGAAGTAAAACATTATTTTATGATTTATTTTAATGTTTGGATTGCTATCTATCTATTTAGGCTTAAGATTGGAAAATAATACAATTCTAGATAAAAAGAGGTGACCCAAAATTCTTACTGGGATTTCTATTTATAAAATTTGACCTATTTTATCTTTCAGAGGGCGTTGTGTAGTATATAAAAACTTTGTAAATTATATTGTGTAAATATAAAACAGAGTCTATTCATAAAAATTTCCTTCTTCTTGAAAAGTTTGAGTTGTAACTGTAAAAAAAAAACAAAAGTCTTAAAAAGTAACTATAGCCGAAAGAAATCGTACGTTACAGTCTCACTACTTCGGGGGAAATCGTTCCTTATATGTTAATCTCATAATAATTTGAAAAAGGAAAACAGAAAAATGTTAAAAATCTATTGTTCCCTGTACCCGATGAAAGATAATTCTTATTCCACTCCCGAAACAATATCTTTTCACCGAACCCCTATGTATAAAAATCTTGGGTGAACGTGATCAATTCTCACGTTTTCGAGCTCATATTTCGGTTAGACAGACTAAAAAGAATATTTGAAATGTTCATGATTTATCTACCAGAGGGCAATGACCTTTAAAGTTCTAATTATACTATATTGATAAGTATGTAACAGAGCTTGTTGATACTAAAAGAGTATTAAAATTTAATAATATAGTATTGAAAGTCAACACTTTTAGCATGAGAAATAGTAAACTTTCAAGCTATTGGCCTTTATTTATGTACCATTTTCCATCGGAAAATCTATTACTTCTTTTTAAAAGTTATACTCAATACAAATATTCATTTAACACTATAGAAAAGTGGTTTGTACTTGAAGAAATATTGAGGTTAAACATAATTCCGGTAACATGGGAACTTGAATACTGTTCGAAATTGTTATTAGAAGAAACCATTTTTTTCTTATTAAATAGAAAAGGATCGTTTTCCCATGAAATTATTAATTCAGCAACAATTGAGCTATAACAATTATAAAGTCACCTGATTGTATTGAATACTTCATAGTATTGAGATCATGATGTCCTGAATAGAATAAAATAGTCATATTGTAAAACTAGGTTAAAAGAAAATTTAAAAGCCAAGTTTTTTCTTAAATTATCATTTGGAATTAAGGAACTAGTAACATTTTTATATTAATTTTAATTGAAATCTTTTATTATGGAATTAATTGAAAGATGGCGACGGTCAACAAACTGGCTAAAGGCTTTAATATTCCTGATCCTTGTAATGATAATACTTCATATTGTAGCTCTGGCATTACCTGATTGGAAAGTTGACACGATTGTATCTGGACAGAAAGTAAACTACGGCTTATGGAGAAGATGTGCATCTTCTAAATGCGAACACTTAACCAATATTGAACCATGGCTGGAAGCTTGCCAAACTTTCTCCATTTTAACATTATTAATCCTATTCATAGCATGGTGTATCTCCTTTTATAAATTTCTTGTTGAATCTCCTTGGAAAAAATTATTATCTACTGTTATATTCAGTTTCATTGTTGCAGCCATTGGAACTGGTTTTATCACACTTTCCATTTTTGCAGCCAAGGCTGGTTTACACGATTTACACACAGGATATGATATTCAGGTTACAGTTGTTGTTTTATGTATAATTTGTTCAGTGATATCCTTCTTCGAAAGACGTCATCATTAATAAAGAAAAAAATCACTTATGTGTGTGTTTGTATGTTTTTTTTTACCTTTAATATTCTTTCTGAATAGTTTTTAAAATTACAGTAGTTTTTATATTGTTTTACATACTTTTTCAAGCATATATTCACTAAAATATACAGTATATATATAATCATTTTAGTTCATTTCTAAACCGCTAGATTACACTACAATACATTCTTTTTACTATACAAGTTTTCCAGTTAGTTGTAATTCAGAATAGTAAGAAATATAAGGTTTTTTTTTACTCTGCTTGTTTAAATAATATAAAACAAACTTTTTATTGTTGTTAGATGTAAACATAACTTTATCATAAGTTTAAGGGAACTATTCATTTCTTGTCGAAAAGTAATCTTTTAGGAAATTTACGGTGTCCTATATTTGTATACTTACGATACGTTTAGTATTTGTATCAATCTAGAGTGCGAGTGTATATAAAATAATCATTAGAAACATGGAAAAGAAGGGTACAAGTGAAGATATGTGCCCTGCTGATGAAGCTAAGATGTAATAATAGAGAAGCTAATTATTTCATATATTTTTAATATTGTAACTGTTATTATAATAACCTTAATCAAAGGGTTTTTTTTTTCTTTTACACCGGGTTCTTTTATTTCGCTCAGAAGAATCTCACGCAACTTAGTTAATTACTTTGAACAACCAACTGATATACACAAGAAACGGTATTATATCAAAATAAAACATTACCGAGAAGCTAAATTACAGTTATATTGACAATCTACAGAAAACTAGATAAAAGTTTACTAGTGAAAGAATATCACCGTCCAGCTGCAGGAAAAGAAACCAAAAACAGCGAATTGCGTACGCCAGAAACATTATTAAAGACATCACATTACTTAATTACAAAGTAATTTAAAAAGCAAATTGTTAATCAAAACTTTAGGCATTTTTATATATTTATATCTTATTATTATTCTATTAAAGAATTGCTGAGAGAAATGATAGACCTTGGTATCAGGTCTACGAATTCATTTTCGATCGTTTGAGGTCCATCAGACAAGAAATTGTCATCCAGAGAATTGAGACAAGACTGGCCCTTGAAATTTTACAAATATGTGTCAGATTTCATGTATTTTCTAATTACAAGTATAGTTTATTATTCTTCTGTCTTAAAGCCATAATCAATTTGTAAATAATTACATTTTACAGACTGTGTGATCATTCCATTAATGAGTTTGACCCAAAAATAAATACCACCCATGTCACCGAGTGTATATCCAAGTCCGTTGAGTTAGCAGAAGCTTTAAATTTACCTTTTAAATTAAGAGAGGAAATGGAATGTATTAATCTCTTAGTAAATCTTGAGAACGATAGAATATTGAGGAGAGCTTTGATTCTAAGAATGAACTTGAGAAGGTACTTAAGGACTTATAAAAAAACTTTTAAAACATGTTCTCTTTTTTCACAGGGATTCAAGAAACTATGAAATGTTTAATAGAGTATTAGATATAACGAAATCGTACGCCTCGGGTAATTTCTACAGATTTATTAAAAAGGGAAAATCATTACCATTAATTTATCTTTTATGCATACATTATCATCTTCATACTATACAAAAGTTAGTATTTTTATATAGTTAACCTAGGTAATTTCTATATTATTGTTTATTTTTATCATTTACAGAAAAGTCATTGATATGTTTAATACTGCCTTTAATTTGAAACGATTTAGTTTACCTTTATCAAAATTTACGTCTTTCCTACAATTAAACCATAATGACGAAACTGAAATAGAATGCAAAAAATTTGGCTTTACTATACGAGAAGGGACTATAGGATTATTTATGAATAACTATAATTCATCAGAAAAGGTAATTCTAATTATCCATTTGGATGGAAAATGTACATATCTAATATTGTAAATACGCTCTATTGTAGTTTTCAAAGAGACATTGGACTATTATAGAAGAAGAATTAGAAAAGACGAATATATCCAATATGTTGAATGGAGTATAAAATTTAAAAGAAATTTTCAAATTAACACTCGCCTGATGGAAAATTTATTACCCTTTATCTGAATAAATAGAAATTCTGCTTTTATTGACTCATTTACCGGGTTTTTTTTCAAGATCTTATGATCAGAGACGAGATAACTTCCTGTCTCCATAGTTATTTAGTACTTAAGGCAACCCTAGGGGTGTGAAATTTCTCTCTAATGGATTGGTGAGAGCAAGCAAGGAAAATATATATAAAATCCTTCAAAAGGAAAAATTTATCCATCTTATTTTTAGTTTATTAGAAAAGATAATAAATATGTTGTGGTTTTCAAACCAATTTGATGATTTTTTTCCAGTTCTTGGTTTCATACTTCAAAAAACATAAATTAGAATAAGAACGTAAATCGATAAAGTCTTTTTTTATTGGAAAATAAAGAAAAGACATAAAGACATAATTATGACAATTAATTGACAGCTAATTATAAATTATAAAAAAAAGAAATTTTGCATAAAAAAAAGGTTTTTTTTTTTTCATTCCAACCTTTGCAGTAAAAGTACGAAAATGCTACAAGAAATATAAAGGAATGAAAGATTATTAGATTTTTATCATATCAATCTTTTTTTTTTTTTCATTTTCTTTCATTTTTGATTAATAATTACTTTTATCACTAAATTTAGAACATTGAATAAATTATTAAAACAAATAGAATCAACTAAATAACTACAATAAGTGAGAATAAAAGAAAACTGATTAAAAACTATTAAGTTAAGATAGTATATAAATTTATATTAATACATCGTATGGATATTATTATTTTGTACACATATTTCTATATATATATATATAGTATATAGAGTATACAAATACATATAAATATAGATAAAATAGTAAATGGTCAACTGTTTTATTCTTGAAGATTATTTATCCCAATAGAGTTGTTAGACGTTAAGAGTTGACTTGACTTTTTTCATCCATCTGTTGCGATAATTCGGGAATTATAGCTAATAATTTCATCAATTAATGTTAAAATTTTATAAACTGGACGTGCTTTATAATATACCATAAAAGAAAAGAGCGTTACATTTATAGTAGTGCACTTTTGAATTACAATCGTAAATGGGTGCAAAAGAGAGAATGTAGAGGGTCTTTTATCATACGTATTTTTTCAAAGGTAAAATAATGAAAGAGAGAAAAAAAGCGATGAAAGAGAAAAATCTTGCCATAAATCATTTTGTATCTGATGAACTAACTTCTTCTTTCATCTTTTCATAGCGATCCCTGGCTCCCGTCAATGGTTTTACCATGACATCTTCAAGTTCAGTAAAAAGCTGTAGAGATAAATGTTTTTATAGGAGAGCAATTTAGAAACGAAATAATTAATGTTTTACTTTTGCCACTGTTTCAAACATGGGAATAAGAACAAATTTTATAAATCCAATTTGAGCAGTTGGCTTCGTAACTTTCTCTCTATCCATAAATGGAGCAACTGGTAGGCCTTGTTCTTTCTCTTTATCCGATTGATTGAAATATTCCTCGAGAAGACAATCAACCCATGGCTCGCTAACTTCAAAAGGTCTTACTTCGTTACTGATGTCGCAGCATTTTATCAGCACCATTTTAAGCTTTAAAGGGTGTATAGCTTTTAAGTATTACATAAAATATTTTGGATAATTAACTAATAGAGTTTAATTAAGTATATCACAAGTTCTTTCTAATGGCGTGAAAATGCTATAAATAAGATATTTACCGAGTTGACGTGATCCTCCTTGGAAAAATCGAATTTACCGATTTTACTTTTAAAAGCTTCCAGAATTTCGTTATGACGTGCCATGTCAGTTGCTAAAATCAGCATAATCACGCCCTGCGAAAGAATTTGGGAAAGAGAAAAAAGAAAAATCTTTAATTACCAATGATATGTGCTCCTCCGAATTAAAATCGAAAGATGATTCAACAATTTGTAGAAAGCTGCTTAAAATCTCCTTGTGTTTAGCCATGTCAGTCGCAAGAATTAACTGTCTGATCTCCTAAATTATCATTACAACTTTCCTTTAATTACAGGTATCTCTCTCTTTTTTATAGATATGTTTTTTTTTAATACCATAACAATGTCTATTTATATATTATATTTTTAGAGAAAATGATCCATATCTCATCTTTCCAAAATATTATCAATATAAAAATAGTCTTTCATATTTTGATACAAAGATCTTTAGAGGGGAAATTATAGTTTTACAGGCTTTTAATGCCCAAACTATTTAATTATCTTATCAAGGTGGTAAAGGAGTGACAAAACGTTACTTTTTTTAAAAAATACATACCGATCTTATCCTTTTAAAAGTCGGAGCGTCTACATTTGAGAATATATTCGTTTCTGGATTCGATAAGATTTGAAATGCTATTGCGCAATGATGATTTTCCAACGGCGAAATATCGTTGTAACGTATAGCTAATTCAGTCCTGGCATTTATTTGATAAGTATTATTGTAACCAGGATGATCGAGATCGTGACATATGCAGGCTGTTAATAAAATTCCTAAATCTTCTCTGCTCATCTTTTCCCAAAGTTTACATAAGTTTATCATTCCATACATCATTTGGGTTACGCAAAAGCAATGGCGAAAGTTGTGAAAAGGATTATTTCTATAGTTTTCTTGTATGCAGAGCTGTAGGAATTCTTTTGTTTAGATTTTAAAGCGAATAATAGTTTTTAAAGATGCACTCGACTAACTTTTATAATAAGATACAAACTAAGAAATTTCCTTTCCTCTTTTATTGTACTTAACATTTTATCCAACTACGAGAGATAAAAAGAAAATCTAAATGAATGAGCTAATCGAGATTGCTAATGAAAACCGCCGAGTGTAAACAAAATAAAAAGTATTGCTTCTAATCTTGATTAATTACGCATTAAGAAAGAGAAAAGAAGGAGAGGAAATCTCTTGAAAGAGTTGGTTAAATGTTAGCGGCTAATTAATTAAAAAACAAAGAAAAAACATTTTCTTATTTAGTTAATTTACATAGATAGTAATAATGCTATAATAATATAATAAAATATTATTATTACCAGCCATCTCTTTAACGTTATAGGATTAATGTTAAACTCTTGAACAAGATTCAATTCATGATACATATGCTCGAGAAGACTTAACATCTGTATAGGAATAATAAGAAATAAAAAATTACATAAGTATACCAACTATAGGTAAATTAAAATAGTTAAACTAACCTCATTCGGTTCCCAATGCCATATGTCAAACGTTGGTTGTTTCAGGTAAGCTATAGTTTCTTGCGAGAGTGTATACTGCATTGTAAAAGATATTTAAAGATTTTTATAAAGTAAAAACATATAGAAAATATTATCTATTATACAGTATATACAGTATATATAAACATTTGCAAATGAATACTTCTTACACAGTATTTCCATTATAATAACATATATACAGTATATATATGTATATGAATTTATTTATACTGTATATTTAATTTATTTCATCTAGTCATCTTTGCAAAATTTAATTTTGTTAAAATAAATAGAATAGTGCATAAGTACGTAGGATATTTTCAAAAAAAAACAACAAATGAAACTTGACTAAAAGAATGTTAAATGGTTAGAATACAACATAAAACTTTGTACTGTTTTTTAACATGCTTTTATATTTATTACTTGAAAAAATGCCAGGGAAAATAACATAATATGCAGCATTGTAACTTTTTGCAGTTAATTGTTATTTCCGTATTAATGGCATTAGATATTGTTTATCATCTTAAAAAGTATTGTCTTTTTGTATACATTCATTAAAAGAACGAGATGATATTATAAAAGGAGAAAATAGTCAAAAATGTTAAAAAGTTTATGAGAAGAGAGAGACGTAGAGAGAGATAGAGATAGAGAGATTCTATTAAAAAAAGAAAAATGGAGAAAATTGGAAATCATGCTTTAGTGAAGTACTGAACATTTTTTTTATTTTCAATTAAAAGTTGGTGTTTGAAAAAAAAACTCTCTACTGAAAAAGATTGAAAGAAAAAGCCTTGTAAGGTACGTTGGAAAAAAAAGCTTTTTCTTCTCTTCTCCATCGTTAGGGTATAGTTTTTTCCCTTTTTGTTCAGTACAACATATATATATATATTTCCTTATTATTAAATAAAGGAAAAAACTACAAAATAGAAAATTTTCTTTCGAAAAGTTTCCCTTAGAGAGGATTATATCATATCAAACTTTTACGGATGCAGATGTTAATGATATTAACGAATGTCTTAATTTCTTTTCATAATCATGCTAAAATTATATAAATTTATACAGTAAACTTTGCTAAAGAGAAAGAATACCTTCTGAAAATTTGGTATGCGTATTTTCTTATTGCCGTTCTTTTCGTTGTTTCCGCTTTAAATAATGAAAAACAAGCGCACAACAGCTAATGAGAAATTAAATTCTGGCTAATCGCTCATGCGCACAACGACTGTTAAATTCTGTAACTATCTCTTTTAAGAATCTATTTTTATTGATAACATAATATCGTAAAACCCCTATCGGTAAAGGAACTTTAGCTTAATGCCAAAAAAATATCATTTATATGATAATTTAAACTGAATGTTTTGCATCTATAGAATAAAAGAGAGAATGAGTAAAAGAAAAGAGAAAGATAGAGATAGAAATGCAGCAAGAAAAAAAACACACACACTTGCGTTTGTTTAAAGAAAGAACAGATTATTTTAATTTGCTTCCATTGATTTGGTTATCTTTACCTTAGGATATGTCAAAACGTCACGTCGACGAAGATTTTGTAGTTTCCGATCGTCTGACATTGCGCTAGGTATCGTTGTTATTGTTACACAAATTAGATAAAGGCCATTAGATTAGTTATCGATAACGCATTCCATTTTTACCATACATCATAAAAGTATAACTTGAAAAATACATAAAACATGAAACAAGTATCATATGTAAAAAGGTACTTTGTAATGAATAGATTTAGTTCTTTTACGACTTCATTAACTGACTTTTATTGCTTTCGTCAAACTTTGAAAAGGTAGAAAACAAAAAAAAAAGAATTTTCCATTGATCTTTTACTTGTAGCCTTTCTTTTTTGATGTTAATTGAATAAATTAGCTAGCTATTTTATTTGTAAAGTATTGAAAATCTCGTAATTAATCAAAAGGAAAATGGTGATTATTAAAGAACCTCTTAAAAATTACACCAGCAGGTTTCGTAACTAATAGGGTAAGTAAGTTCGTTAAGCAATTCTAATAATTACTTATTCTTTTCCAAAGAGTAGAAAGGTTTAAGACAGTTGCTTTAGGCAACAATATTCGGATAAAAGCTATTCAGAAATGGATCTATACTACTTTCAGGACTCGACGGTAAGGACGTCTAAAAATTTTTTATATAAAAAGTATACAAGGTGTAATAAACAAGAGAAGAAGAATTTAATTATTAAAAAATAGTGTCTTTTAATCTTTTTATGATAGAAAAAAGTTAGCCTTTCTTTTTTTGCTAGTTTCATGTTTATCTTAGTCATTTTTTAGCTAGTAACAACTTGATGTAAAGTTTCTCTTTTTTATTAAATATGTATATATATATATATATATATTTTGAGTATATAAATGAATATATTACTCTTATTGCTCTTATTATTAGTTGCGTTATCAAAATCTAATCTGAATAGGCTCAAAATTTATCGCATACGCGCTAAATTAGGTATATATTTTAATATTTACTTCATCTGATAATCCAAAACCTTTCGTTGAGCAGACGAAATCTGTTCTTTGATGTCGTAAATTTCTTTCTTACATTTTTCGATATCAACAGCCTTCATACCTTCAACTGAAACATTTGGTTTATTTTAATAATACATTATCTCTCTATAATCTTAATCATTACTTTCCAATCGCCTTTCAAGCGCTGTTAATCTTTTATTTACATCCTCCTTTACTTCGTCCATACTAAAAGCTTTATTTAATGAATCTTTAAACTGTTCGACAACCTTTATTAAGCATTCTTGCAGTAAATGTAGTTCATCTAGTGAAAGTACATGATCTTTATTATGTATGAATCACCTTGTAATAGTTTAATACTATTTAATAAAAAAAGAATTTAATAATAGAAATTTCAATTACTTTTAGTTTGGTTTTGAGGCTCTTGAATCACCACAACTTTATAAGGTGCGCTATAAAGAGATAACATGAAAGATAGTCGTAATTAATGACATTTATGATTCATTTGACACCAAACGTAATTTTTATAAGAGCACTTTGAAGCCTACTCTATTACGACTGTTGTATGCATTAACACAAATTTAGGACAGACACATTCAATAAGAAATCGTCAAGGTAATGTTAACTAATTTTACGAGGGTTGTTATTAGCTTAAAGAGTAGATTAAAATGCGCTATAATCTCAAGTTATATAAATTATAGATATATGTATGCTTATATTTATACACACGCTTCATTATAAATTTAGATTTATTCATAAAAATTCTTTTTTTCTTCACAGGTAAGAAAAATAAGAATTTAACAACTTTCAGATAACTATAGGTTATTTCTACAAAATTTCATTAAATATATTGGTTTCTAAACAAAAATACCCTAATTTATCTGTACAGATTAAGCGTGACATTAATTATCAGAACTAGAAGAGAGTAGAGGGAGGTGAAAAGCTATGACGTCAATAGTAACGTTGAATCAAAGATTTCGCTTGAAGGGTAAGCTTTTTTTATGTATATATACTGTATACTGTATATATCTGTGTAGTAATACACTTTACTATTAAATGAGAGATTTTTTTTATTTAAAGGTATTTGAAACCTATACATCATTTACACTTTCTGCTAAACTATAAGATTAAAAAGTTACAGCCAGCAATAAAAATATAAAAAATGAAGCATATACAAATCTAAACATTTATATATAGACCTCATTTTATTTCCATATATACATTCTTTTCCATACAATGCATTTCTATGAATTTATCATAGACTTGCAGTTGTATAACAATATTTTCTATGGTATTTCTAGTTATTTTATATTTATAATAAATTTAATAGTAGATTGTTAGAAAAAATGTTTGAAATTACCCTAAATATTCAGTATATAAATATTATATGTAAATATTTTAGCTATATATCTGTCTATACGTATGTATATATATGTATTGAATAAAAATCATTTATAAATATTACTATACTATATATTGTAATTATAGTAATTAATATTAATTTGCCTCTTACCTCTGACTATTCGATGGCATTGCCGGTGACAGAGCGATAACAGACCCATCTTGATTTTTCAAAGAAACAGAAGCATACCTTTTTAGAAATAGAAAAATATTCATAAATAATTATTTGCTTTTAAATCTGACCTGCTTGCTCCGCACAGTTGAGCCAATTGTTCCTGAATATCTCTTCCACTACAGTTGGAAGTGAAGACAAGCTGTAAAAGAAATTTACTTTATGCTTAATTGGTCCTTAAGATTAAGACACGATCAAGCTTTTCAAATTATTTCCCTTTATTATCTATCCTCCTTAGTATCATTATAAACTTATTTATAAAAATATTGAATACTAATTCATCCGTTGTTATTATAAAATGGGTCTGTATACTCTCTACTATTCTCAAATAAGCGTTAGAACATACAAAGTACTTCCTTTCTGTTAGTTAAAAGGTTGGCTTACATACATAAGAATGTTGGATGATGATGCAATTTTTATCTTTCATTAAAATAAAAAATATAATACTGCTTCTAAATGCTATCTTACAGAGGATAATAATGAGGATTTCTTCGTTACTTAACAATGATATTTACGCAATTTGTCTCTCTTTCCATTGACTATACAATTAACTTGAATCAATTTTTTCCGTATAGCTTTCATTCTTAGAAAATTGACTTATCGACATCGAATTTACATATAACATATAAGTAAGTCACATATAAACTGTTTGATAATTACGTTTAAATGCAGTATGACAAGACTATTAACAGTTTTTTTTAACTACAAAACATGTTTATAATTTAAAGAATAATTACAATAGATAAGGAATAAATTTTTTAAAAGTAACAGTTATTCTCTACTGCTGTTTATACTATATATCCTTAACATAGATATATTCATAATCCATTATTTATAAGTGTTTACATCGTAGAAATTAGAGTCGAGCGAATGGGTAACTTAGCGACGGTAGCGTGTACGAAATATATTGTAAATATATTGTTTTATAAATCGATGGAGTAATTTTTGAGATATTATCGTTAATTAATAAGCACAACACTGATAATAAAGATGTTCTTGTTCTAGTATTAAACAAAAAGTAATTATCTACTTTGACTTCTTTTTTTGTTGAAAAGAAAGAATTAGTGTTGAAAATATGCTTTCCTTTAACAATTCTCTATTATATTTCTTAATAAAAAGAAAGAATATATTCAAATACCTTCTCGACTTTAGATGCAATTTCGACGTAAATAACTCGAGGATGAGTGACGCTCGAACCATTCCCCATCTTCGTTGAAAAGAGACGCTTGATACAGGTGCGCTCGACGCTGGCGTTACCTAGGTAACGCAATTCTGTCTAATCTGGTTACCGGATCTGATATTCGGTTTTATTTGGCCTATACAGTATTTAGTTAATACAGAGAAAAGATTTAATAAATTATTTCAAAATCTTTATATAAAATATGGAAGAGGAACCCATATTATTTGAGAATGCAAGCAGAAATAGCTAGAGTACCTTTTAGAATTCCTATGCAAAAATAATGCAAAGAAGAGAATCATTGGACTAGTTTTCGACAATTCATTAAGATATTATATTTCTTTCGAATCTATCAAAATTTCCAAGGAAAGAATGTTGAATTGGAGATCATTTCTAAAAATTTCCCACGTTCCGAAAAAGCTAATAAAAATGAGTTACATTACTCATTCCTGGCAAAATTTGTTGATAAAAGAAAGTTGCAGAAACGTAACTTAGGTCTAAGTGATAAACATAATATGACACAGTTGGATTAAAGTCGGATTACAAGCGACTTTCTAATGCAGTTTCCCTAGATATTGCGGTATATTTTTTTCCAAGTAGAAGAAAAAAAAAAGCACATCACTACCTTTATAGAAACATAAACTAATAATCAAAATTAGCTTCATATCATGGTAAAAAAATACTAATGATTAGTTATATTTAATCTTAACTAATATAACAGCATGTTCCGCATAAAAACAGGAAAGAAGTTAATTATAAGTCAGTAAATAAATATACTGTATAAAAACAGAGCACAGCTGACTCTATTCATCTAAAAACCTTTAATTATTACTTTATCATGAAAGATAAAAAATATAAAATTCCGTTTATAAAGATTTATGAAAGGAATATGAAATATTTTAAGCAGAAGTTTATGTCAGTCGCATTACAACCACGATTACATTTTTTCCCCTATTCCTATTCCTTTTCTCATTGTTAGTAGTTGTTTTATCATTATTCCAAATTTAATTTCCTATAAACATTCAAATTGCTATTAAATAACTATTTTGCTTATTTGTCCTCTTCAGATCTAGAAATGACTAAAAGAATCTTTATCAATTATGTAATTGCCTGTCTTGCATTATTTCAATAAAAATACTGAAGTTTATCTTAAATAAACATTAAGTAATTTTTTTAAATAAAAAAAGCAGCAAAGAATAAATTAATGTAGCTATCTTTTTAATACGCGAAGAGATGTTTTGTTGCCAATTATGATCTGAATATAGGCCACCCTTTTCTTCGTCTTTTCTTTCAGCAGGAATTTTTATATTTGTATGGAAATTTCCATCATTTTTATGATTTTACTACATATTTTTTTATTTCCGCTTCCTCTGTTTAGTGTATATAAGTTTTAATTTGCTCTCTGATATTAGCTGATATAGTTTGTAAAAGTTCTTTATTTCCATTTCTCTGTAATATCTCATTTTCTTTTTTGCCATTTTCTACCTTGGTAATTACGTACACACGCAGGTGTAGGTTATTTTAGTTGTTTGCTATTAAAGATGGAAAAACACGTATATCCTGTATAAAATTTATACTATATATACAGTATATATAAACTATATTGCATTAAATAAAATGTTCTACTTTGATTCGATTTGTTATGATATCCATTTATTGATCATAAAGGGTCTATACATTATTCGATATAAACAATAATTATACGGTTTTTATCCATTGTTTTCTCATTCTATTTGCATTTTATAATCAAATAGTATTATTGTCAAAGGTAAATCCGATTAATATTCGCTTTACTAATCAATTCTTGAAACTACAAAGGAGTAATTTGTTTTGATCGTATGAAACTATGTTCGCTTAAGAATAATCTGTTAATTTATAGGTAATAGTGATAATCTATTAAGCGTAGTATACACAATAATAGCTCTTATGTTCTCTTGAAAAAATTAATTATTGACAAACGATCATAATAAGAGTGAGTTTTGACAAAACAAAACGAAATAAAGATTTTATGTATGTCAACAATGTCACGTGATTTGTACAAACTAAAAGAAATCAATATTTTATTTCTATATTACATTTAGCAGTAGATAAAGTGACAAAGTATTAGTAAAGTTGGTAAAACGCTGAATAATAGGTAATTTATCATAATAATATTTAATAAACAGTATAGTAATACGTTTTATATTTTGAACAATGTAATCATATAAATCAATATGTACAAGAACTACTAGTAATGTATAAATATGGAATTATATCAATCAATCATTATTTAAATTATGCTAAAGTGAGAAATAACACAAGTAATTCATGGCTTTTATTTATTGACTTTTGACTTAAAAAAGTATGTTATTTTTTATTCCAAAGATAAAAAGTTTTCTTCATTTAAATAATATTTTATATAATCTTATAACTAATAAAGAATTATAAATATAATACAAAGTTCATATCTATAACTCTTTTACTATTTATTGCTTTGTTTACAACCAATCATGAAATGTTCAGAGAAACATTTGCAAAGTTACTTCCTCTTTCTTACGATTAGCAATGTAGGGAGTAAATATCATGCCATCTATTGGGGAAATCAGATGAAATATTCAAGATTCATTATAATTATTCGAATTTAAACGAGTAAAGCTATCTGTTGTTCGATTTTGAATATAAACATTGAATAATTTAGTTGCAGGCGTCTCATAGGATTTATCTAATTTTTCAAATGAAGTTTTTCGTAACTTTTCCGACTTCTTTTCCCTTTTAGGTGACCATTGACTCGAAATTACAGCCAGACCATTGACTATACGGCAATTGGGTCTGTTAGAAGAACGATTATCTTCTGTAGTATGCTTATTACGCACAGGTATGGTTTTTGATTTGCTATTAATTTTACGTTGAACCATTAAATCAGTAGGACATCTTACATGCAAGCCTAGAATAGATTTTTGCCTAAGAAATTCATCACGTAAAGCTTTTTTCGTAGAATTCTGCCTTTGCGACAGCTTAGGCTGATGAAGAACATTGTGTAATTGTTCTTGCACTTGCTGAACGTGGTGACGCCGCCTTAGGACCTCTTTCGGAGTAATCGATATGGATACATCGATTGGACGTAGTTCAATTTTTTTTATTTCTCTTTTAATAGATGTAGTTGAACGAGAAGACGAAGAAGAGCTGCACAAATCACTTGATATATCAGATTCTTTTTCAGGTATATTGAGCAGATGTACCTCATTCTGGATACTTGTTGTAGGTACAGAGGTCGCTATAGGTAATGCTTTCCAATTATCCTTACTCTTTTGAAGCAGCAGAGAAAATTAATTTTTATTTACTCTATTTTTCAGAGGAAGAAAATGTTACTAGTTTGTTTAGGTAGTTAATAAATGATACAATCAATAAAAAATCGTCGGAACAATCCCTAAATTAGCTTTACATTTATCCTTCGCAATGAGTATTCTATTGCTAAAATTATTTCAAATTAATTGAATTAATCAAGTAGCACACTTTAAATGGATTTATAAAACGGATTAGTAACTAATAACTAATCGTTTATTATATCATATTATACAATATAACTTTATAAAAGAAGTACGCAATAAAATATATATATTGCCATTAGAGAATATTCGAATGTGTACACATTATATATTATATACTGTACATTATATTGTGTTCTGTTCATATTTCATTCTTGAGGTTCTCTTTAACTTTAAAAAAAAAACCTATCATACGATGCGATGCGGCACTTTATTATTAGACTCTTTAAAGTTACGTTTAATTATTTACTTATTCACTCTAACGTTTGATGAGATTCCATAATAATAAGCCTATACAAATAGATCAAAGATTATCCGTTCAAAGTCAACATTACGTTTATTATTCTTTTACATTCATTGCGTCACTTTTAAGTATTATTACTTAGATACTATGTAGTAGACTTTTTTTTGTTGGATGGCTACAATTTTCCTTTAGCTATTTTCTCTGCTACTTTAAAAAATCTCTTCTCATCCTTTTTTATAGGTGGCAATTTTACATAAAAACCAGCCGGAACTGGTATTCTGTACAGTTCTCTAGGTTTTGTTAAATCTCTTGGTCTTACTTCTGGTCTCTTTTCCTCAGTCATTTCCAATTTCAAAGTAAGAGCTGCTAAATCAATGTGAATTTCTGGTGTCCTAGGCGAAGCCGGCGATGAACAAGGCGCTACTAAATCCTCGATAAAGCTGCTAATTGAATTATATGTCTTGTTAAAAGAGACGAGTTAACAATAAGAGAAGTGTTGTGATCGGGGAATCGAGGAAGCTATTGGTGTTGATAATATAGGCAAAAATAGAAGGGAGGATTGAAAGGGGAGGGGCGCTAAGAAATACCAGAGAGATTTTTTATTTTCTCGGCTTTCCCTATCGATTCCTCCCTTTCTTTTTTCTAAAGGTAATTATTCGATTCGTTTACTCACCTGTCACCCATAGCATAGGCTATTCTCGACATGCTCTCAAATCTTCGTCAATGCCTTTCTATTTGTCAGATCTTTATAGTTTTCGCCAACCAATAGTATCACTGAAAGTAAATCGAATAAAGAAAGAAAACAATATATTTCATATTTAGGTGCAGAAGCGATCGAGGAAAGAAAAAGGTCGGAGGGGGCGTTGAAGTGAGACTTTTTGTTTTATTTTGATCGATGTTTTAAGAGAAAAAAAACCGAAAAATCGATCGACCATAAAATTTTCGCTCTTTTTATTTTAAATCAAACGATCGATATAAAAGGGGTGCATTAGCACTGCTTTTATCCGTTTAATGTGTATAGATAAAAGTTAGTAGACCGTTCAAGAAAAATCCTAATCGAAATATTCTCTCCTATCAACTTTTCCTTTTTGAAAACTTTTATAAAGTATTACTTAACTTTCTTTTTTTTTAATTCATAGCGGAATCAATGGGAATAGTTCAATATACAACACATTTCAACTTGTCTTTAAATTGCTTTTTTTTTTGTATGAACGCTATTCAAAATCAATTATAAATCTATTTCGACTGAAAGAATATCATTCTATTCTATGAATAAATAATATAAAAAAAACGAAAGAAAAGAGGTAAAGAGGTAAAGGATTATGATAACCATATTATCTTAGAATAAAGAAAAAATGCCTTTAAGTAGGAGCTGCTTTAATCGACTTTTTAAATTATTAAAGATAAAAAAGAAGGATAACAGTTTTAACCTTCGTTACTGTATAGTATAATGTATTTTGCAATTAAAAATCATGTGTGAAATCTCTTATTCCCTTTAATAAAGGTTAAGTTTTTTAAATAGAAAAAGCTGCTTTCTATTTTATTAAGACGTAATTTGTAAAATTTGTAAAAGTGAGAGAGATGCGTGGACATATTATTCTTTATTAAGTTAAATTACTACATTTATTAAATTAATTTGCATCTTTTGCTTGTACTATAATGTTTCTTGTATATATCTTTTTCTTTTCTTGGCTCTCTTTTCTCTGTCTTTCTCTTCTTAAATAATAAATGAAGAATAATCTAAGATATAGGAAACAGCAAAGAAAACTAAGAGAAAATTGGTGTTATTCTAGATAAATCACAGAATATTTAAAAGATAAATAGTTTTGAAGATAATGCTACATAACTAATCTTTTATTACTGAAATTGTTAAATCCCTTTCCTGATTTTACATATATCAACAATATTCACAAATTGCATATGGATAAGCGAAATAAACGGTTATAGAAAAGGTTAAAAGCTCTACATATACAAAAAAAATAGAATAAAACTAAAAGTTCGTTCCATTTAATTCTTAATATCATACCTTTTCTATATTCGTTTACACAAATCCTTCTAACCTTATTAGTTTTAATTGAATGTGCAATTTTCCACCTTTTTCAATACATATTAATATCTCTACAGTTTACTTTCCTTCTTAAAATTATTTTTTCCTCTTTTGAAATAAGATCTAAAAAAATATAATTAATGTCAAGTTAAGCATTGACATTTTTCCATATATGTTAGTATATACATATATATATATACAGTATACAGTATATATATATCTCTATTATTTAACAAAAATTAGAGAAACAAAATAGGCCTAATTATTTAATAATTTGGCAAAAATTACAAATAATTCAAAGAGTATTCCAGTGGAAAAAGAAAAACTGATAATTTTCTCTCTTTCTTTTTTTTAAAAAAAAAAACAAAAAAGAAAACTAATTTTATCTTTTTCGGTTGTTTTTGTTTCCTTAACCTTTTGTTGAACAGTAATCATTTTTAACTAAATGAATAATTTTATCTTTTCTAATAGATTCATAATCACGACTTTTAGCATAGTGTTTAATATCAGGTTAAAAACTTTATATAAATATAAAAATAGTTAAATATTTCTTACTTACTCTATCTAATCGTTATCCTTATTAAGGTCAATAATATTGGAAGAACATAAACTGAACAGTACATCTTTTATTAAGCTTTCTTAACTTTGAGAAACGAGTCTCCCTTTCATTTTGAGAGAATTTCGTTACGGTTTTAATCTAGTATAAATAAAATTAAAAGCACAGAAATATTTACACAGTAATAGAAAGTCTTGTTTTTCTGTTTTTCTTGAAAGGGACAAGAGAGCTATAAGTTTTCTCTTTCTTTCTCTCTCTCTCTCTCTCTCTATACATATCTACAATATAGATATATAAACTGTATATATTAGGATAGATATATTCGTTATTTGTTTTCTTTTCTTTTGATGAATATTCTTTAATCTCTGTCAAAAGTAGTTTTCCAAATTCAGCGATAATACTATCTTTCTCCAAATTATTTTAGGAACTGTTGAATAAGTTATCAGTACTTTATCGGATAATATTTTAAACTAGGTAAAAAAAACAACAACCTAAGATAGTTCAATCTAATAAAGCTATCTCTCTTCAATATCTAATAACCACAATTATGCCCAATCCAGCTACATCACGGACTTTATTCGTTAATTGTTTCTGTCTCTTCTCTTTTTTTTTCACTTTTGTCAGAGTATTTCTATACTTTTCAATTCTTTAAATACAGATCAATTTTTAATTGTGATCAATTCTGTTATATTCTACTTTTTAGCATGATTCCTAATGATGTAGAAATTTTTCATGATATAGAACTACAATTATATTGTATAGAAGAAGAATGAATAAGCGGGTAGAAAGTCTATACTACCGTAGACAAAGTAAACATGTAAGATTATCTTCATTTGATTTGTTTCATTAATAAAAGTTTATCAACAGTAGCAGGGGATAAGGCTAACATGATGAAAATTATGATTACATTTTAAAATTTTAATAATTCTGAGTCAAACTCAGATGTTGGTTAATCACGAATTGAAATTAAGAAAATAAATCTTTTTTCTCTCACGAAAAGAACAAATCAATCTGAACAAATTATAAATTCTTTTATCAGAACTAGCAAAAGTCCATTTTATCAAGTAAAATTGCTTTTAGTATTCTATTCCATAAATGGTTGTACTTTACTGAAAATAAGATGTCTTAAATATCTATAGTCAGATATAGGTTTAGAGAGTATTAGAATCAGTGAATAAATGTGACCCTTTTCAACTTTAGAACGGTTTAGTTATAATATTTATAATTAAATTAAAGTGTAATGTATAACTCATCTAAAAGTCTCTTAATAGTTTTAAACGTTAAACATATAGATAGAAAGGATTAATTGAAATTCTTTTTTATCGATGTTGGAGTTAACTTCAACAGATAATTTTTACACTATAATCGCTATTTTTTTTTTTTACAAATACGAAATAAATTCAAGGTCTGGCGCATTGTAAAATTGATAAAAAACTCTTAATATACTTGATATATTGAAACACTACAGTAGAATAAACAAGGGAGAAATACTATCAAATGAAATTGTTTTACCATGAAACATTTACATTTAATTTCAAAAGGCATTTTATATCGGTCAGATAAGCTGTTTTGTTTATCCCTCATGTCTTTTCTGTTCAACTATTCTTTGTACAGTTGACAAACATCCATTTCTTTTGCTAATAAATCATTTTTTTAAATGAAAAGATCTATAATAATATCTTGATTATTAAAATTTCTATTGGCAGAACAACCAACTATAAGTTTTTATTATCTGACATAGTTATACTCATAAATATATGACCGGCTTACCGACCAATCCTTACTACAAGATAACAAAACAAGATAACGCTTTTCCGTCCATTATTTCATTATTCATCAAAGTATGCCATAGATTAGCATTCAATAGCAGTATTTTATTCATTTTATCTTTACAAGAAATTGCTCCAAAATTATTTTTGAGAAAACGAAATTAGGTCAGCGAAAGGAAAACTGAAACATTTCTTTTTCTCATCTTCAGTTCTACCTTAAAATATTTATTAGTTTGAAAAGTACTTTCAACTTCCTCAAGAGATAAATAACTATCAATGTTCTTAATATTTTACTAATTTGTTTCCCTTGTAAGATAAGATTCCTTCTTTCCTTTAGACTCAAAAAAGTTTTAGGTATTCTTCTTCTTCTTCTCCGTCTTCCCTTCTTCTTTTACATGTAACCTTAGAAATTCTCACGAACGCTAGTCATAATTGTAATTATTCATATTTTATTCGGAGATGTGTGCATGCAATGAAGCTATCTTGTTATTATTATTATTTTTTGTACTATTTAAAGATTATCTATGAACGTTCTTCAGTAAAAGTATTAGGGGGAAAATGATATTATTTTACTCGTTTATGTTATTGGTTAAGGATGAAGGGTAATAACTAAATTCTAGATTTATCTCTAACGGAAATTGAAGAGACTAGAGAAAATAATATTCGAAAGTAGTTTAGAAATAACAGGATATGCTATATACTCTTTAAAGCTTTATGTAATTCAAGTAAAATTAAAAATATCCAACAATAATAATATAACATATTTTCTTTATGCTTTACAAATATTCGTGGAGCTCGTAATCCTTTGTACGCCTCAACCAAGTTTACTCAATAGACATAAGATGGCGTTACGTAAAGAATTCAACGGTCTATAAGTTTTACCAAAGTTTCAGAAAAAAGAAAGAAAAAAGTATTTATTTTTTTTTTAAAAAAAAAAACATATCTGAATTAAAAACCAAATTACGTTATAGCGAAATGGATATTTATAAGTTTTATTTATTTAAAGAGAAAAGTTAACCAAAGTTTATATTACACTTAAATTGTGATAAAATGATTGAATCATCATGGGCATACACTGTTTTATTACTTTTGTTACAATTAATAAACCAACTGATTTTAAAAGAGACTAATAAAACCAAAATACGAATGATTCAAATGGTCTTCCCATTTAGAGGATGGGAAAAACCATGACACATGATTTTGACTCATCGTCGAATGTGTTAACTTGTTAGAACGTAAGATAAATTTTTTATCTTTATTATAGGATGACCTATAAATATTGATGAGGATTAGGATATATAAACAGAAAATTGTATAGTAAATGGTATGGCGAGGACCTCATAATGTTGAAGAAATTTATTTTTATAGCATTAATACATTGTTCTCTATCTTTTCCTACTCCATCGGAAGAGTATATGAGAGAATTTGTTTTAAAAGAGCCTGACATTTACAAAGTTTATTGGAAGTATGATGACAACACTATAACGTTTGAAATTCACGCTAAAACTAAAGGTTGGATTGGCTTTGGTGTTTCTCCTAATGGGGGTATGCCTGGATCAGATATTGTAATGTTTTGGAAGGGTACTGATAATAAAATAACCTTTGAGGTATATCCTATTTGAAACAATAATATAAAATTAATATAAAATGCTGACTCTTCTCTATTAGGATAGACACGCCGTTGATAAAATTGAACCTATTAAAGACGAAAAGCAAGATTGGCATTTAGATTCCCTTAAAGAAGAAGGAGAATTTACAATTGCAAAATTTAATAGAAAACTAAATACCTGTGATGATAAGGATCTTGAAATCAAAGTAAGAATAAATTTTATAATATCTCCAATCCTATTAATTGAAATAAAAAACTTCAGAAAGGAACGAATAGACTGATATGGGCCTTTAATCCGCTAAAGCCTATAGATCGTCCAATTTATCATGGTACCGAGATGCGAGGTACTGCCAGTGTGGCACTACTAGCTGAAGGACCCCCAAACAACGCCGGGGATATAATAAAAGACTCCTTTCCTATTGATATAACACACACACCGGTTTGTCATTTTATATAATTAGATACGATCTATATACAGTACATTACCTTAACTTTTTTAATATTCTTCAGTATCGCATACCAAACAATACAGATACAGTCTATAGATGTGAAATATTCAAATTGACCCATCCTCCCGGAAAGCACCACGTAGTTGTGGTAGGTCAAAATACTAAACAGTAATAAAATATCAATAACTTATCTTTCTCTTGTTTAAAGGTTGACCCACTTATAAACCAAGACCATAAAACTTTGGTCCATCATATAATAATATATGGCTGCGCTGGAAATTTAAGTTCGGAGGTGGGAACTACATGGAATTGCTATGAGTCGAAAAGTAGTGCTCTCAGTTCGTGTAATACTATTATGTTCGCATGGGCTATAGGTGGAGGGGTAATTGACTGCAAAATCTACTCCAATGGAAATGCAAATATAAAATTATATTTCTTTTTATGAGCAGCCTTGGTTCTTCCCTGAAGAAATAGGATTTCCATTAGGCGGTCCAAACGATCCAATGTATGTGAGAATGGAAACTCACTATGATAATCCAGCCCTAAAGGATGGTATTATAGACACTTCCGGTCTTCGTCTATGGACTACGAACAAACTAAGAAAATACGATGCGGGCATTATAGAGGCAGGCCATGTGCTCAGCCGAGACCTTCATGTTATCCCACCTAAAGCAAAACCTTTCGTATCAATCGGACATTGCTATAATGAATGTCTTCGTCAGGTAATAATATATTTTATAGCCCTAAATCAATTTCTGTTTTCGATTGCCGCACGAAAATAGATAGTTCTTGAAAGATTCTAGTATAAATGTGAGAGAATGCCATTTTTAGAAATACTATTCGTTATCCACAGAGTTTGGAACGAAAAAATGTTAAAGAGATCAAAGTATTTGCAGTAGGCTTACACGCTCATTTAAAGGGTTATCAAATTAAACTTCGTCACTTTCGAGATGGAGTAGAGCTTGAACCAATTGCTTTTGAGGAGTTTTATGATTTCAATTTTCAAGAGTATCAAAAATTAGAAGTTGAGAGAGTCGTAAAAGCGGTTAGTTTAATTATATTTCAACTATAGATATATTTATTAATGACTCATTGGGTATTGATATATACTTTAGACTGACAGACTTCAAGTTGAATGTTCATATAACACAGAAAATGAAAAAAATGCGACATATGTAAGTATTAAATTATCTAGTTAAACAATTTTCTATTAAATTTTCCAGGAAAATACTATTACAAGGAATATGTACTCAATGGCTTATTTTACTAGGGTGGTTTCACAACAAGGGAAGAAATGTGTTACGCATTTACCCAGTACTACCCCAGAATTGATCTCTCTCGTTGCCAAAGTCTTCCAAATCCCGAAGTTCTAGGTGAAATATTAGATCCTCCTTCTCATCATGTTGATTGGTCTCCTGCAAAAGTTGCAAAATACCAAGAATTGGTTAAAACAAGAAACGTTAGAGTTCGTTGTCTTGGCTCAGGAGAGAGCTATCCAGTAATATTTGTTTAATATAACTTATTTGTAATCATTTTTTAATAATCGATTAATAATCAACAGATACATGGAGAGATGATCAATTTTCCCCCACCGACAAAAGAATATGAAAGAGAAGATGTTTGCCTCTCGAAAGGAAATCAAAATGAATATACGAAAGTTGCTATTCTTCTTTGCATTGCAACTCTGATGAACATGTTTATTTGAAGAAGCAGCAACTACTGAAAAACTATGAATTACTTTGACGACTGTTAAAACCAAGGAAAATCATTTTTCCTTCTTTCTTGATTTTTTGAGTCCCTTATAAAAAAATATAATTTACTTTGCAAGCCTTAAAACGTAGTCCTTTTATAATGAGATATAATTTTATTATATGTCTAATTAAGTAAATATTCATTTAAAATTACAGAATTATGAACATTTATATTCAAATATAATTGAAGTTGAAATACTCTCTCTAAATTTATGTATGTTATATGTGATGAATCTATAAGATATCTTTGATACTTTACATGACAAAAAAATGGTCATAATTCCTACAAATGTAATATTTAGGTCTTGTGGTATTGTCAATTACGCAATTTCTCCTCAACTACGGATTTATTCAAACTATTTAAAAATTGAGACCTATTGATCACTAAATAAATTGACCTACTATACTATTGTCGACCTAGTATATTCCTAACTGGCCTAGTGTACTGTTTAAATTAAACCCGGCAATAAAATTTTTTCTCCCCTTAAAGCAATAAAGAGTTTTTCTTTGTAAAAATGATCTAAAATGAGGAAACTCTGTAATGCAAAGATACAGTCTCCCTATTGAAATAATATGGTCTATTATAAATTATTCGTTTGAAATGGTTAACGATGATTCATTCCGCCCCTGAATGTAAACGAAATTTTAAGTTACGTCTATATTACAAAAACAATAATAAATTACTTTGGTTGTTGGCTAGGAAAATAATAAAGCCTTTTTCTTAAGATAATTAATTTAAGTAAATGGAACTTTCATTAATAAATAAAGTTTTAATAGTCGGTCAATCACCCTCAAGAAATCTGCTTTAATCTAGGAATGGCTTTGCTTTAATTTGTTCCTCTATGTATTCCTAGTAAACAATTTTAAAGTTAGGAATTTTGCGTAAGTTACCAACTTAATTTGTCTGTTAGACGACATTCAAGCAGGAGGAGAGGGTGAAAGGTTGGTAGAAAAAGAGTCACGTGCCGCTTAGTCATAGGATTTATGTAAGTAGCGGCTATATATATATGGCTTCTTTTTCATTTCTGCTTTAGTGTAAAGTAGACGAATTGGTCAGAGAGAGAGAGAGAGTGAATGATGAAAGTTTTGGTACATTTTTTTACCTTTATCGCAATTTTACAATTGTCTTCAACATTTCAAACCCCGACTGAAACCTTTCAACATGAGTTAATTTTAAAGACTCCAGATATTTACAAAGTATTTTGGAAGTACAACGAAGTTGATATAACTTTCGAGGTACACGTAAAAACTAAAGGCTGGATTGGATTTGGAATTTCTCCAAATGGAGGAATGGCTGGTTCTGATATGATTTTAGCATGGTTTGCAAATGGTAAACCAGTGCTGGAGGTAGAAAATAAGTTTAATTTTATAGGCTATAATAAAACTTTTAGATTATATATTATCAATAATATTTTATGCTGACTGATTTTAAGTTCAATGATCTTAAATTAAATAAAAGCCAGTATATTTTAATTCCATTAAGTAGTCCTTCTACGATAATATTTAATAATTCAATATTTTTTTATCAGCTTTATTTGGTTTTACCTATTAATGCTTAAAAAGTATTATTAATTCAAGAAATTTAGCTAATTTTCTATTCTAAAGAAATCTATTTGTTTACATAACTAAACAAATTATTAAGAAATTTGAGCACATTTTACGTGTCAATCTGTAATTCAAAACAAACCTGTTTTCAGGACAGACACGCTATAGGAGAACAAGAACCTCTTTTAGATGAAAAACAAGATTGGAAACTTCTTTTAGGAAAAGAGACTGATGATTATACAGTAATGAAATTTCGTCGAAAGTTAATTACATGCGATGAAAACGATAGAATTATAACCGTAAAACTATAAATATATTAATATTACTTATTCTGATCATTCAAGTTTACAGGGGAATAGTACAATGAGACTTATTTGGGCTTATAATGACATAAAACCCAGTGAAAAAATTATCAAACACGGAACAAACAATAAAGGAACAAAAAGTGTTAGTTTAATAAATTTAGCGAAAACTATTAACCAAGAAGAGAGATTGAAAGATACATTTACCTACGACATAAGAAATTCTAACGTAATACAAACTCTGTTTGTCATATAATTTAAATAAAATAATCTAATTAATATTTCTCTATTTCTTAGTTTTCCTTACCACACGATAGGGATACATTCTATAGATGTGAAATATTTAAAATACCTCCAATGATAGAAAAGCATCATGTGATATCGGTAAAACATACATAACAATTTCTTAATAAATTTAAGATAATTATTTTGGTTTTTCTAATATAGGCAAAGGCGATATTAGATGAAAAGCATTCTCAGATACTACATCATATTTTGGTCTATAGCTGTCATCATGCAGTTGATGACAGTCACGTCGGAATTTCATACGAATGCTACAACAATGAAACAAATATGGCTGATCATTTAAATGGATGTGATACCGTTATATTTGCTTGGGCAGTTGGGGGCGAGGTAAATGAAAATTAATTGTAATTTGATAATTCTCTCACTGAGAGAAAGGCATATTATATTTTCTTATTTATTTAATAGCAAGAATTTTTTCCTGAAGATGTTGGCTTTCCACTTGGAGGTTCTGATAAACCGTTGTATGTCCGAATGGAAACACATTACGATAACCCATTTGGAGTAAAAAATGTCATCGATCAATCTGGTGTGAAATTATGGCTGACAAAGAAACTAAAAAAATATGATCAGGCTGTCCTAGAAGTTGGCCATACTGTTGGACCATATCAAATAATTCCCCCAAAGACTGAAGAATTCATTACCTTGGGTCATTGTAGTGAAGAATGTCTGAATGAGGTGAGTTCTAATGAAAAATGACTTCTAAATCTCCATTAAAATTATATTATGTGATCTTAGGCTTTCAAAGAAAACAAATTAGAAGAAGTTAAAATATTTTCCGTCATGTTACATGCTCACTTAAAGGGCGTTAAGATGCGTTTAAGACACTATAGAGGAGACGAAGAAATTGAGCCGATAACTTATGACGACAGTTATGATTTTAACTATCAAGACTACAAACTAATGAAACCAATGAAAGTTTTGAAAAAGGTAAACTGACAAATCTTGATAACTTTATATAATTTTGTAATCCAATATCTCTATATCTTTTTATAGGGGGATAGGCTTACTTTAGAGTGTTATTACAACACCAAAACAGATAGTGAAACGATTCAGGTTGGTTGAATCACATTTAATGTATAGAATTATTAATTTAATAAGATCTCTTTAGGGAGGTTTGTCTACGAGAGATGAAATGTGCCTTGCATACATCAGATATTATCCGAAAATTAGCTTAGCACATTGTCAAAGTAACCCGAATATGGAAAAAATTTCAACTGCATATAAAAGCATTAAAGAAAAAGGTTGGACAAAAGAGCTGAAAGTTGAATATCAAGAATTTGTAAAAAAACCAGAATTTGTTGCCGTTTGTACAGGAAACGCTAAAACGTTTCCGGTAAATTTTCTTACTATTTTAATAACTATTTAAAGATAATAAAAGGTGTGATTTCTTATATTTTAGATAAATGAAAAAACGATAAAACTTCCAAAAGTTAAAAAGAACTATTTACCACCAGATTTCTGCAAATTAATTACCCCGTCATCATCATCAACAATTCATCCATCAGTTACTCTATTTGTTACTTTATTCAGCTATTATTCATATGTAATCTATTGAATAATCTATGCATTGTAAATACTATAGTTACTCATTGACTTATACTTTGAAAAATGTTTATTGTGAGAGGCAGAATGTATGATTTTTTTATATGTATACAATAATAATTGAGTTGCATAGGTAACCAGATGGAAAAAAAAGAGACATTTTCAATTATTTTTAATAGTTAAACTTAATATATTTTCTTGCTTCATCTTAGGCAAATATACTCACAAATTTAATTACTTATGTAATCTATAATGCCTTATAATTGATTAGAATTTGTCTTTGTTCAATATATACATTAAGTAATTAATAGGTTAATATACCAGCAATATGATACTAGTGTCTAAAATATACAGATTGTTATTTAAATCTAATTCTTAACTAATTCTACTTATCTTATCTTTAGGAATTCGTACTTTCACGCATAGCAAAGCACTTAATGTTGGTTTATTTACATTCAATACTTTGTTTATTAAAAAAACTATTTTTTATTATCTATAAATAGATTATACGGTATCTTTTACCAGGAATTTACTATCTTTATCAATTTATATTGATAGTAATTTTATTGTTTTAAATACACTAATATAAAAAAAAACACTTTATCTTTTAGTAATTCCATAAGAAAAGAATCTCTAGAATTGCCTTAATATGTATTTTATTTATTTATTTGTTTAATACTATCTTTATGACATGTATTTTCACTTATATTCACTTGAGTAAATAAATATTTATTGCACTTAATCTATAATCCTATTATGCTACTAAGAAAGGGATTTATCATCTAAAGCACTTTATATCTACAAATGAGAAAGTTTAAAAAATTACATTCAACTAGAAAATTAGTTCTCTTTATCAGTTTCTTTTTTCAGTTTAATATACGATAGAAATTCATATGAATAGTCTTGAAAGTATTAGTATATATATATATATATATATATATAAGAAAACCTTCCTCTGCAGAAAGTATGAAGAGAAAGTTAATTTCTTTTTTAGATAATCATGATTAATCCATTCATAAGTTTTATATAATAGATAATAGAAAACGTAATTTATGGGATTGAAATAAGATGAATGTGACACGAGTTAATCTTATAGCAAGATTCAATCATAAATTGATTTTTTTTCTCTAGATTTTGCCAATTTAACAAAGTTACTTTCCTACTTTTTTTCTATTGGATGCATATACTTTAAGGGAATTTTCTTGGTTTTACAAGATTATTTATCTAAATAAGATAACAAGTATAAATAGAGTGTTTAAGAAATTAGAAAGTCTAAAAGTGGGAGAGAAGAGAATACTAAAAATTTATATTAGTAATATGTTAACTAAGAATATAAGTCATTATAGATTTCCTTAACTTTCAAATTGCATTGAACAAATTTAATGTAAGTGGATAAAACCGGAAAAGGATAGGAAAAATATGTCAGAAAATATTCAATTTTACAATATTTAAATTCGTAAAATAACAAGAACTGCATAGGAGGATCATTTGAAATTTTACATAAGTTTCACCATTTGACGTATTACTATAGTTAAATAGATTTTCTTATATTCGTTATCTATTTAAAATCAATGAATATTAATTAAATAAACTCATTTTATATTATTGTATATGTTTTTGCCTATTTCAACAAGTCAAATAGTTTTAAAATATTGTATTAGTTATAACCCACCATTAACCGTTGTAGTATACAATACATTTGTGAATTCAATTTACTTTTGAGTAGTATACCTAATCTCCTCCAAAACAAGTTGAAGTTAGGTTTAAGCCACCGTCTATAACTAGGAATGCTCCAGTAGTAAATGAACTCTTTTCACTATCAGCTAGAACAGTTACAGCTTCAGCTATTTGTTTACTTTCTCCGATTGTTTCTTTAATTATAAAACATTACATGATTATCTATTATTCTTATTTCTCTAAAATCACTAAAAATACAAAAAAAAACAAATACAATTCTTACTCAATAAATTAAGTTTCGCTTCTCCGTCGTAAATTTTATCCAATTCGGAAGTTGTAGCAAATCCGGAAGTTACCAGTAGGTTGGTTCTTATTTGCCCCGGTCTGGATATATATTAATTTTTATATAGTAGCATAAATATTAAGAATTAGGCTGATTATATAGAATAGAAGAATTATTAAAGGTTTACGTACACAACGCAGTTTACTCTCACACCTTTTTCGCTGAATTCTAAAAATATTCCTTGATTTAATTAGCTGACTTAGGTAATTATAGTGTTTTCTTTATCGTAGTTTTTTTGTATTGTTTACCTTTAGCGCATAATTTGGTTAGAGAATTCAGACCATATTTAGATAATATATACGGTGCCATTGATGGAAACTTTTTCGCAAAGAGATTAGCATGTTTATAAGTAAAATAAGTACATTAGAATCATTTTTAATTGTTTTTAAAGGTTTACCGTAATATCCCATGCAACTCCACTACCAATGTTGACAATATTACCTAAATATTTTTTTGTTTTTTAAGAAAAAAAAAAGCAATCAAAGGCGTCGTTGAAGCGAAATAAAGTAAATGTAATAACCTTGGGTTCTTTCCAAATAGGGTAGAGCCAATTTACTAAGGTGTAAAGGTCCCCTTATATGAACTCTATACATAGCGTCAAAATCCTCCAAAGACGACTTTTCTATACTTCCTTGTTTAATGTAGCCAGCATTATTAATCTGCAAACAAGTAAAACTTTCATACGTATTTTAAAGAAATAGTATATCGAATAATTATAGCTTAAAAGTACTTTCATCTAAAAATTTATACATAATTTACATATATACAGTACATATATTTTTTATAGTAAAACATTTTCAAGTAGATACTAATTAATAGATATTTACTAAAACATCTAATCGTCCAAAAGTGTTGACTGTCTCCATTACAAGTTTTTCAGCATCTTCTTCCAAGCTAATATCGCCAACTATCCATTTTACCTGACGAAATATAGATGAATTTTATTTTATTTCTATTAACTTTATCCAATTCTCTTTCAAGTATATAGGAGTGGTAAGTTAAATAAGAACAGTATGGGCTGAGAAATTAATTATTTTTTTAAATTAATTAACTTGGAAGAAATAACATTTTAAAACTACTTTTAGATATATAATCAATAATTTTAAGTTATTAATAAAATTTTTACTCTTTTTTCATCAATTCCCAATTCTTTCAATTCTTTTAAACAGTTTAATAACTTGTCTTCATTTCTTCCATTTATAGTAACTCTATAACCCAATTTTGCAAATTGTAAAGCCGTTGATGCTCCAATTCCGGAACCTCCTCCTATAAATAAATATGAACATTTGCGTACACACATATATATATATATATATTTTACGTCTTCATTCATCCAACAAGTATCAGACATAAAAATTATATGAAATATTTACAGTAAACAATTAATATTTAATAAAAAATGTAGACGATAGTTGTGAATACTATAGCGTTTATACAAACTATTACCAGTTATTATAGCAACTTTATCATCCGACATACTCTCTCCAACTAACTTTGACGATATTTTATTTCAAATAAACTATAACTTACAGAAAATACGGGTTAGAATCATTGTCATAATCCGGTAGGTGTCACCTTAATTGAATTTTATTGATTCGTTAAAACATTAAGAAATAATAGTTATATTTTAGCATACAAAACATATTGGAGAAAAGAAACGCTTCTTTTCAGAAAAGGTCTCTTTTTTTGCTCACTTTGATTCTGTCTCTCTTCTCACTCTTCTTAAATTTAACATCAAAAGCTCTTCATATGATTTATATTCCCTTCAAAATTTAATAAATTAGCTTATTACATCTAAGAAATTTTCTCTCAAGAAGTCTAAAGCTTTTGTTCAACTTTTTATTATTATAAATATAATATGTAAGCCTATAATAATTATGTTAACGCCTTGCTAACAAAAAAGAAAAGATAAATCGTATGTATTCAGGTCAATCATTCCATCGTTAATGATCGAGAGTATTCTACTGCATTTTAAGGTAAAAAACGATCGAAATTGTACGTAATGAATTGGAAATATGTTCATCTCCATTAAAGTGTTTTGTTTGTCAATATTTTTTACCTATTCTTTACCTTAAAAAATCAAAGCTGTTATAGATAAAGTTTAGCCATTATTACTAAAAATATCTCATATAAAATGTTAAAAAAAATAGAAACTGATATCTTTTCCTTCCCTTTTACTTAGGCTTCCTCTTTTATCATAGCTTTTCCTCATATCTCTGTCTTAGTACAAGTTGAATTACTATTTAAGAACAACAAAACAGAACGCGACTAAATTAAGTCAACCGATTTGTCTTATATTTAGATTTTACTATAACTTTTAATTCTACAATATACATGTATATGCATTATATAATTATATATTTAAAAAATTTGGGCACTTATTCAAATAAATAAGAGATTATAGGATTAATTTTGTACTCATTGTAATTTTTAGCATTCTCTTTTTCCTGTGACATCTATTTACTGTAGACAAAATTTGTCATTAGTATTAATCTTATATGTCATTGGCGCCACCTAGTCATCAATCGAGGCCTACGTAACAGAATCAGTCGTACAAGGGAGGCTGCCATGATCACTTAGAGCAGAAGGGAAAATCCCTCCTACTCCCAACCCCAAAATTCCTTCTCGGGTAAAAATGCAACGGAACGACGGATTAGACGATGAACTTTTGGATACTAATAATAAGGAATAATGCTCTTCCTTTTGGCACTTTTGCATCCGTCCGTCGGTCTCACTGTTTTAACTCTCTTCGACGCTAATAAAACTGCGTTCGACAATCTAATTGGCCGCCAAGGTAACCTCAAGTTCGTCAACTTAACCGATACTGGATTTTTCCCAGCTAATTTAAGGAATTTACATGAGATTTATAAAAAAGTTGAACCAGAAATATTACTGGGAATCGGCAAGAAAAGAGCCATTGAGGCTATGAAAATAGTCTCTGGGTGGACTTGTACACCTCTTCTGGCATTTGACTTGGATTATCGCTATACAGCTCATGGCTACGTTGCAGTGAGTATACATTTCTTTTGCATCCAATATCAAGGGAAAGATATAAAGGTAAACTAAATATTTTCACTTTTCCATGTACTGTATACAAAGTATATATATAATCCCTAAATTCCAAAAGAATAAATAATGCTTCTTAAATCACGTAAAAGTGAAATTTTATTTTATCTTTTCAATTTCTCTTATACAGTAGATTTACATTGACTAAAACTGCTATTCTATATATAGTTATAGTGATTTTATTAAGGAAAATGACAAATAGGGTAAAAATCATTTCTCGAATAGTCATTTTTTTTCTTATTCTTTTCTTAGAGCTACTTGTCTTCAATTCTACATGTTTTCTTTTCGTCGCTTAACAAATACCACCATATATGTATCATAGTAGGGAGAGAGTAAGACTAGAATCAATTTTCTAACATATTTCTAGACGTGGGTTTGATCACGTCAATTTTTCCTCTTCATTTCTCTCCCCGAGTAAAGCCCCACAAGCGCTAAAGACTAATAAGAATGATTGGTCCATTCTCTCCATCAGATTTATAATTAGATAAAAAATAAAAGAAAGTATTATTTTAATACTTTCCTTTTTTGGAATTTTTTCGGAAGGATAGTATAGAAACAGTAAAAGCCATAATAGATTATGTTCTTACAATAACGTAAAAAATAATACTATTTTCTACCGCATAGCTTAATAAAACTACTAGAAAGAAAGAAATTTTTTTCAGAATGATTTATTGAATAAAGCTGATGACAATTCATCACTTTTCGTTTGAAAGAGACGCATATAACGTACTAAAAAGTGTACTCAAGAGTCAACAGCGCTAAACATATAATATTAGTCTTAGATTAAAGACATACATCATTAGGCATCTTCACCAATTGGTACAGACAAAAAGCCTTTAAAATCTTACCCAATTACAGTACTTCGATTAAAATATCTTTAGAATTTTAGCATTACTACTCAAATTAAATTACAGATACTGCTAAGAAGAATTATAAACAGCTAGTAATATTTATACCTTTCTCTATATAAAGTCTATATATAAATTTATCTTAAAAGAGTAACGTTTAGGCGTAATTAATTTACATGATAACTATTGCAAATATAGATTTTTCCCTAATAAAATAATGATAATGGCAACAAATTAAAATAAATTTTTAATATATACAGAAGATAAATATAAATAAATATTTAAGATTATCATTAGTTTTTCCTTCTTGTTTCTCTCTTTACAAGGGTAAAGAAATCGAATTTGAATGAAATACTATGGCTTTACATAATTCTATTGTAAAAAATATCATATTGTATAATTTTATAGTTGTGATATTATCAAACTATCTATCTCCTTCGTCGTTACTGAAGTAAGCCTTTTTCTTCTTGCAATATGGATTACTCTTGGTTTTTCATCATCATCTTCTTCTTCTTATGCATTATTAGTTTAAAGAGTAAAAATAAATGCAAATAGCAATCTATAATGTTTAAATAAATAAGCAAAAAAATTTTGTATCTCTATATTTCTCATTTTTCCCTCAACTAATGGGATAACTTTAATACGAAGATAATGAGGGGGAAATGATTTACACTGTAATAATATTTACTCTTTGATAGATTTACATCAAGATTGATAATAATCGTAATTTCTTCCTGTTCGAAAAATTTTTTTACTATAAACTCGATTCAATGCCATCGTTGTTTGATCATACTGATCTTTTTGGCTCATTTCACTAGAAAAAAATGAAGGATTTTTGCAACTAGTTCTTTGACATACAACGTTAACACCTTACCAACGAGGAACATGACTTTTCATCGATTTTTCTTTTTTTAGAGGATACATCAATTTTTTAATTAAGGATCTTTATTTACAGAAAAAAATCCTAAAAGTAGAATAAAAAGGTAAAAATCTACAGTTTTGAATGTAAAGTAGCCTTTTTAAAGCGTCTTTGACCTCATATTTGCCCTTAATCAAGTATTGATCATTAATTCTCTTTCTATATTTAAAAAGAAAGTAGGCTTTTAATATTCAAAAGTTTTTTTTTCTTTTACTTGATTCTTTTTGCCTTCTTTAAATAAAACTATTCAAAGAAAAGATATCCCATAAATCGACATTGATCTTAACGATTATCTCCAAGTTTATTATATAGATATTACAAACCAAATAAAAGAAAAAGAAAAAAAAATCTAACGGAAAAGCTAAAGAAAGAAGAGTATCCCTTCTTCTTTACCTGTTCTCTATATCTTCAAAAGAAGTCTATGTATCTATAATCTATATACATATAGTGTATAGTATATATAACATTATACTTAAAAAACAAAATACAATTGGTACAATCGTAGTATAAAAGATTCGGTTTGTCTCAATTTGTATTTCCTAATTAAATTTGTGTTTTTTTCAATCAGCCATTGTATGTTTTCAACAAACTGATAATAATTTAACATTTAAAATTATATATCTATTAAAAATTTACATAAACCTTATATACAATGCATATATATGTGTATGTATTCATATATATTTATAAAATAAATAGAGAACAAAGCAAACAAGCAAACAACAAAGGCAAAAAGAGAATATATATAGAAATAATAAAATTTAAAAGCTAGCCTTCTTTAGTACTAATCACGTATAAATTAAGTAAACTTTTACTTAACAGTTAAGTTTATTTTAATATAACGATAATAAAGAGAAAATATAGAATCTATTGATTAATTTGAATACAATTATTATTTCAAAGTTAATAAGTTGTAAACTTTTTAGAGTAATCTGACAGATAGTCCATTCTGTTTGATATACGAATATTTACTTGTTTACAAATACTGACTGTAAGTTTAAAATTATATTTCAAAGGTTGCCACTTTTTTAAGCCACCTTTAACCTATCTTATTTCACTATTAGAAATGAATCTTCCGTATGTTTAATTGGCTTATTGAAATTTTACAGTACTTTCGTTAAGTAAAGATAATCTACTTTATCGTAGTCTGTTTTAGAAGGAAAATGGGGCTATTTTTCACTCCTTACTAACCTAATCTATTCTAAAATTCTTATACAAATAAAAGCAGTTTTTTGTTGTAGTTTGTAGTTTAATTAAATTTACCGGACACTGTTTAAACAAGACTATGTCCATTTGCAAATAATCCAGCTATTTCAAAGTAACCTTGATTAATTTACCACCTCCGGCGCTATTTCTTTTCAATTGAGTACATTCATTCAAAATCTCATTTGAACAATCAAATGCTTTAAAATACGTTTTTTGTATTTAAATATAAAAAAAACACGTTTTAAATTTATCCTACTGGGAAAGATTTGCATTAGGATTTTCTTGGATTATACATATTTATCTCTTAAAGCAGTCATACAATAGATAAGCACATATTTGGTTAAATATTAATGAATATCTGCCATATAGCTAAATCTCTTCTTCAAACTGCAATTTATCTCTGTCCTCTTTCTTTTCCTCTTCCTCCTGCCACCCCCTCTTTCTTCTTCTTCCATAAATCTCCTTATAAATTTCTCTGTCTTTCTCACATATATCGGACTTGTTAATGCAATAATTCATAAAAAGAAATGATCGTCTCGGAGAGTTTTCTTTTATCGCAAATGTACTTTTCTAAGTGTCGTTGACCTCTAATCCTGGTTATAGTAACAACAAAAAAGAACAAGCGAGACTTGGAAAATCTTTATAATCCAGATGTACGAAAAGCTTTCAGACTGAGGGTTATTAGCTTGACCTATATATTGAATTTATTATTTAGCTAAAAAAAAATAATAATTTCCTACACGAACATCCAGAATATACGTTATAGAAATGGAATGTATACGATACTACATTAACATATGTATATATTATATTATAATTTTATTTATAATTCTTTATTCTGTTTATTGTCTTTTTCATTTACTTACAAAAACTTTGGTTTTTAAATGAAATAACTCTATGAAGTGTTCCTTTTCTTCTTTCACGAGTAATTACCTATCGACTAGTTAATGATTAATTAAGACTTCGAAGTTAATACTTTGGTCCTACGCATATCGTTCTATTAAATAATATGTAATTTGTTGTAAGTAGGATAATTGTAAGCCTATTATGAATTTTTCATAATTAATTTTCTTACAAAGATATATAACAAAAGCAACATCACTTTATGTGCAATTTGTAGTTATAATTGAAATTCCCAACACGATACCGCTTTAACAACTCGGGGGATTAAATGGAACTAATACCGAGTGACGTCCATAATTCTAAAGCAGAACAAAGGAATAAAAGCGTCGGAATTGGCGTGTTGCCATGGCAAACGCCTGTAAATAATGCGATATACGTTAATTTACCAACACTAAAAGGTTGGCCGAATTTTATCAGAAAAGAAATTACGGTCGCTCTAAGTTGTAGACAATTGGATTTTTATAGATGCGATAAAAAAATAAGTCAACTTTTCCCCATCTTATGCTCTTCTATCGCACTCGTCCTCGCTCTGTCTCTCTTACTCTCGCATACATACACCACCCACCCAGTCACCCACACATACATACATACATACATACAGATACTGTATATATGCTTTTACACTCTCCTCTATTCGTTTTACCATTCTCTAGTACTAAAAAGGAGAAGCTATATAGAAAAATTAAGAATTAAAATTTATCAAGAGATGCATAAAATATGAGAAGACAATAGAGAATACGATTATAAAGGAAAATATAGAAATGAAAAGAATAAGACTGCCTGACAGACCTTAATTAACTAAAAAGCGTTGAACTAGCATTTTTTTCAAACCATACTTCTGCTTTTGATTTTAATGAATGTATTTGAACTAATTGTTTACAAATATTTCGGTGGCAAATGAGCGTCGTTGGTCGAATGTCATTGTTTTGTAGACTATGTGATGACATTAAAAGTTAGCTTTATCAGGTTGAAGGATGAACAAAGTCGGAAAAGTCATTACTATGGTTTTTATAAAGATCGTTCCAGTTTTTTCTTACAGTTTGTTTTATTCGCATCATTTAACGTCT